CCTTTCACGCCAGAGACCCGGGTTCACCCAGGTGAAGATGAAGACAAAGAAGATGACAGCTAAGATGATGATGAAGACAAGGAAAACGATGACCGAGACCAAGAAGATGACCACTAAGACCTAGAGGAAGACGAAGATGAAAACCAATAAAACGACGAAGGTGAGGATGAAGACAAAGATGATGATTAGGATGACTATGACCATAAAGATGAAGACAAAGAAGACCAAGACAAAGAAAATGAAAACCACGACGTGGACGTCAAAGAAGATGACGATGAAAAAGACGACCAAGACTAAGAGGACGATGGCCAAGACAAAGAAGATGACAACTTAGACTAAAAGACCAAAGAAGATGGTGTCGACAAAGAAGAAAAAGACTAAGAAGAACAAGACGGCAAAGACAAATAAGATGAAGAAGATGATGAAAACAAGACTGTCGGTGACTTTGAAACCAAGATATTCCCATATTACCGACATGCTGTTTTTCTAAATAATAATTAGTCTATTAATGCTTCAGAAGTGGCAAATGTCATCATCCCACTTTTTCGCGCTTTCCTGTTTGTTTGTTTGTTTGTTTGTTTGTTTGTTTGATTGTTTGTTTGTTTTTATTGATTGGGCAGAACAAAAGTGTGCACACTCAACTGGCTAGTAAGACGGAAGTCACACATTTGTTCTGGGTGGACGAAGTTAAACCATATATATTTCATATCACAACCTCTTGCGATTTCCCAGAGATGGGTTGCGGCTGGAAAGGCATGCGCTGCGTAAAAAATGTGCTGGATAAGTTGACGGTTCTTTCCGCTGTGGTGACCCTGGAATAATAAAGGGACTAAGCCGACAAGAAAATGAATGAATGAACCTCTTGCGATTAAGTAATCGAAACATTTAAAATTGCGATTACGATTCGATTTTGATCTGGATGCAGACCTGGAGCAGTGCAATCTGAGCTGCATCCAATGTTTTTAATTGGGCTCACCTAACCCCACCCTTACCCCCTACCCCTCACAGTGATGTCACTAGCTCCATTGAGTGCATTATGTCTGACATTGCATCGCTAAAAAAAAAAAATACATTTTTCATTTATATAACTTCAAAGAATCCAAAAAGAGCCACATATTGATAAATAATGTTATGATAGCTGTTTTACCATTTAGTTTTAATTGAATTTCATATGGTTACAATTATGAAATAGTTTGATGACAAGCAGGAAATGTTGGACCAATGAATGACATCACCACATTGAAAGGATCTATTGCTTCCAACAGCAACCTAGCTTTCCCATAGGGTCTCCTATAGAGGTACTGACCAGGCTCAGCCCAGCTTAGCTTTGGTGAGTAACCGGTGTTGGGCTGCAGCATGATATGGCTGTGGCCATATAAAAAATGTACCTAATTAAAAAATATATATATAAAATGCTTGAGTTTCCATTTTGTCCATATCTGACAGAATGTTAAAGGGATGGTGCACCCAAAAATACTTTTTAAAAATAATAATAACAAAAGATTTTTAAAATGGTAACCATTGACTTTCACCGTGGAAAAAACAAATGCTGTGGAAATCACTATCTATGTTTCCATCCTCCTATTTTTATGTACACTGGAATATCACATGTTTAATATCATATATCTTTATGTTTCATCTTTGTCTTAGGTGCAAGTATTTTATTATATAAGAAAAAATAAAATAAAATAAATAAATAAATATATATATATATATATATATATATATATATATATATATATATATATACGGTGTATATACCGTATATACTGTACATATAAAGCATAATTGCTGTAGTTTATCAGGAATTGTTTTATCAGGACTTTGAGTACTTGGATGAAAGACATTAATGAGACATTGGATAAAAACTTTGCTTTATTCTTCAACTTCTATGTAGTATTCCATTTTTTTTTTTACATCTTTGGACAAAAAGATATATCGGTTTCAACATTTTTCTACGTCTTCATTTGTGTTTAACTGAAGAACAAAGCTTAACCAGGTGAAGGTTGAATAAATTTAAGATAAAGCAACCCAGCATTTATACTGTACATAGTTGAAGGACATTCTAGATGGATTTAGTCTAGTACTGTAGTTATTCTTTTGAGGAAAAGCGTAGCTGGTGACATTTGAAACTGCATGTGGTCTACTTTTTGCTCAAAAACACACAACTGCCTATGCCATTTTGTGTCAAGGCCTCTGCGGTGGCCTGCTTGACATCCCACTGTTCAGGAACTGGCGGTAAACTAGGCCTCGTCTGATGGCTCCAGAGCTCTCTCGAAGTGTCAGTTCCCCAAAATAGTCTTGTGACCAGACTACAGACACCAAACAAACAAAGGCACTCCGATCGTGTAAGTATCAGTCTGAGTGCTTGCGAAGCTTCCCTCCGTCCCCCGTATCGTGCTAATCAGTCTCCAGGGAGTGCGATCGGACACGACACACATCCTATTGGAGCAAAGTGTGGTGTCTCTCCCGCCTGCGAGCTGGACTTCGGTGCGGGTTGCAGTGGAAACGTTGATGTGCACCCTTTGTGTGGACGGCGAGGACAGAGGCACGGCGGCAGCAGATGTCTCGTGGCGGAGATTATAAATAAAAGCGACCAGAGCAGCGGAGCACTGACGGGCCTTAGCGAGGCCGCTGTCAGGGTGGCAATGTCTTTTACTTACTGGATAGTTTCTCAGCAAGACACTTGGCCAACCTCTTCTAACGATGACTGTGTCCTTGTTATTGGACTTGATGCCTACCCTTGGTTGGGGGCCATATCATAGGCACCAGTGGAGAACCGTGTGTGGGGGTTGGCTTGCCACAAGAAACATGGGCTTAAGAGGGCGAATGGTACAGTTACAGAAAAACAAAGGAGTGTGGTTCAGGTGCAGTTGTGTCTCTTCAGACACAGGCAATGTTCATTATAAACGCTTGGGGCACAACAGATGTACAAATCAAATTCTGAACACATCTTTTTCCATATCAACTGGACTGAGGGAAAAAAGTGTTATCAAGGATGCTGTAATTTTGTAGCCTACCGATATTTGAGAGTCATTCTATGTACAGTAATACCTCATAAATCTATGTGAGGACAACTAAAAATCCTTCCACTTTTAACCTCATAATTTGACTATTTTTCAAACACTTAACACTAGTATACTATACTTTAATTAGAACTAATACTTTTCACTCATATGAGCATGTTAATTCCTATAATAAGTATGAGTGATCGGTAGGTGGGTGGGTTTCTGTCTAGAAACAATAACGGTTACGCTCCTAATATACAGGGGATGGACAATGACACTGGTTTTAGACCAAAATAATTCATTAGTATGATGTAGGGCCTCCTTTTGCAGCCAATACAGCATTGGTTTGTCTTGGGGATAACAGATACAAGTTCTGCACAATGGCCAGAGGAATTTTGAGCCATTTATCTTACAGAGTAGTTGCCAGGTCACTATGTGGAGGAACACGTTTCCTGACTCGCTGTTTCAAAACACCCCAAAGTGGCTCAACAATATTTGGAACTGGTGAATGTGCAGGCCATGGGAACTTCATTTTCATATTTATTAAACCACTCTACGTGTGTTGGTGCATTATCGTCCTAGTACATGCTTACATGGCATCGCCTTCAGGATACAATGGTTGACTCATTGAGTGCACAGTCAGGATGGTTCGGTAGTCCTTGGCAGTGATGCACCCATCCATCACAAGTGTTGGGCCATGATATTGCAGCCCAAACTATCACTCATCCACCCTCACGCTTCACTCTGGGCATGCAACAGTCTGAATGTTACGCTTCTTTGGGGCTTCTCCTCACCATGACTCCCCCGTGTATATTGACCCTGTAGAGCTCCCAATGAACAGTTTTGATGGAAACAGGAGAGTTGAGGTGCACATTTAATTCTGCAGTGGGTTGGACAGCTGTGGTTTTATGTTTTTTGGATATTATCCGGGTTAGCACGAAGACAACCAGTCTCCTCTTGTGTTCAAAGTTACTCCTGTTGGATGTGGTTCATTCTTCTTCATGCTGACATTACTCTAGATACTGTGATACAACACAAAGAGTTGCTGTCTTGGTCACAGATACGTCAGCAAGACACGCACTGACAATTTGTTCTCTTTTGAACTCTGATAATGTTGTGTGAATTGCAATTGCAAAACTGTGCTATTACTCTGCTAATTAAACCTTCACACTCTTCTCTTACTGGTGGAATGTGCAATCAATGAATGCCTGTCAAATTTAGCCATGAAACCTTAAACACAAAATTGACCAGTTTCAATTTCATTGTCCAACCCTACACACAGTTTCTGTTAAATAAATTATTTGTCATTATTTCTTAAGGACACAAAAGACATCAGACTATAGAATTCTATTTGCCTTAAAGGGTCTTTGATAAAAGACACTAGAACAAAAAAAAAAAACTGTAATGGCACTCTTTCGCTGACATAGTGGATTTGCTGCAGTCAGGCAAATTGCCTTGGCAGTGCTGATGACAGCCTGTTGAAGAGTGAAGTGCTGAAAGGTGAATTAGGAGTGCTAATGAAGAACACACTCCTACTTGAGAAGGTAATTATCTTGGGTGTAATAGCTGAGGGAAGATTAAGTGTGATTCTAGCCCCAGAGGAGTATCACACAAGATTACACCTGAGATGTTTATGAAAGAAGAATGTCTTCTTCAAAACGTGCTGACAGCAGCTTGCCAGAAGTTGCCACCTACAGGTCTGAAGACAGTCCATGAAATGAACGCTATGAAAACTGCATGGATGCTAGTCTATTGCAGCTGGTAGTTCCAAACACTTACAGTAAATATATTTACTAAATAATGTAAAATAAATCAATATATAAGAAACTGTGTAGCAAACCCATTTCTAGTTGCATATTTGTAATAATAATTAGATATTTTATTACATTTTAATTATATATTATTATTATTATCATTATTATTATTATTATTATTATTATTTATCAAATTAAAATGATAGATGACTGATAAAGTAATCACTTGAGAGCAGGCAGAAGGATTAATGCTTCAGGTTAACGTACATGTGACATCAAGTAATCTCTTGATTAGCCTGTTAGCAGCTAGTAACAGCACAACTTCCTGCTGCTCACACCGGGCTAACATGACTCTGAATATGGGCTATTGAAAACAAAGACACAACCGCGGATTCTTCAATGAAGACCTTTATCTGATCAATAGTAAGTATAAATGTAGGATTAAGCGAACGTTTTAAACCGTTTCTGAAAAAAAAAACAACTAACGTTAACGTTAGACGTGCTTAGCATTTAGCTGTTATCAATTTTAGATACATCGCAGTGACAGCGATTTTCTTGTGATAAAGGCTATCGGGCAAGTTATTAGGTTATTGCTTTCATTTCAGTAAAATGTTTGGGAACGTTTATTTTTAGTAACGTTAGGTTAATACGTTGTGTGTTTTCGTATTTTGCCTAAAGGTTTAGTGTAACAGTGGGGAAGGTTTAGTGTTGGAGGTTTAGTGTTGGACAGTGTCTGGACGTCGGTTTATGTTATTGTATTACGTTACCTTATTTTTTGTTTTAAATAAGGCGAAATTTGTATTAATGTATGATGTTTTGTGTTTTTTTTCCATAATAAACTAACTTAACCGTTTAGCCAGTAACACTATAACCTTAATCAGTTAACGTTACGTTAATCAGAGCAAGACATACACCTAACCTTACCATTGATTTTTATGCTGTAAGTTAATTAGAAATAACTAACTTAGGAGGCTCTTTGTTCAAATGTACTTTTTAGTTAGTTTTCTAAAGGTATTATACAGTGTTATTTTAGTAATAGTAATAGGTTTTTATTTAATATTATTAATATTTTTTAATTAATACTACGAATTTGGTTACATTTTTATACTTTCACTGTTTTGTGGTTGTTTGTCGTAATTTTTCATTTTTATTTTAAATAAACAAATATATAAAATAAATTAGTAAATAAATCCATTAACCCCTGCATAAATAAAACAATAAATAAATAAATACACAAATAAACAAAATAAATTATTAAATAAATCCATTAATCCCTGCATAAATAGAACAATAAATAAATAAATATGCAAATAAATCAGTAAATAAATCCATTAATCCCTGCATAAATAAAACTATAAATAAATAAAAACAAAAATAAATGAGTATATAAATTCATAAACCCCTGCATAAATAAAACAAATAAATAAACAAATGTGCAGATAAATAAACAAAGAAATATAAAAACCCTTGCATGAATAAATACATTTAATTAATAGACAGCTTCCCGTTAGCATGTTGAGCTGAGGAAAAGTAAATGCGTAATTACGTTCAAAAATGAATAAATATTTGAAATAGGGCAGAAAAATAAATTTTCAGTTTAGCGTTTTCTTATTACCACTACATTCGTGTACTTTATTTAATCATTTATCTGGCCGCACTATTAATTGTTTTTAAGTTTATTCATGCAGGAATTTGCACAAAAGAAAAAAGTCAGGACTATCTTATGTACTAAACGATAATTATGAAATCATTCATGCATAAACTCTGTGTGTCTACAGGTCTCTGGGTGTGAGACTGGGTGACGTTATCATCATGCCGTCAGCAAAGGTGCTGAAAAACACCCAATACATTGAGCTGGGCAGTTATCAGTATTGGCCCGTTCTAGTGCCAAGAGGAATCCGCTTGTACACTTATGAGCAGGTGCCGGCATTCCTGCGCGAAAACCCTTATATTACTGATGGCTACAGAGCCTATCTGACCTCTAGACTGTGCATTAAAAGGTAAGCACAGATCCTACCCTTAACCACCTTCAAATAGATAACAAATATTTTGGCATAATGTCATCCGATGTAGATTCATTGCCGAGCTTAACAGAAAATTGAGAATAACTGAATTATATCTATCGTGAAAAATGTTTGCTTAAACACCGGATATAATATTTTCTTCTTCTTCTTTTTTTTAGCATTTTCATTCTTTCCAATGAGACAGTAAATATCTGGAGTCATCTGTTAGGGTTCTTCCTGTTCTTCACGCTGGGAGTTTATGACTTGTTAGCGGTGCTGCCTATGTTAGGAGCATCCAGAGAGGACTATGTCATCTACTCCATAGGCCTCTTCTGCTTCCAGGTATATCTTTGCTTTTCTCATACCCTCACAGTGTGTGGTTCACGTTAAGGTAGAAAATTTGAGCAGTTAAGTGGCAGAAGCACATAAACTTTGTAGTTAATAAAGTAGTTAAATGTGGGTAAAGATTTTGGCACACCAAACAAATAATCTCTTACCATGTTTGCTTGCTTGGATCAGCTCCATCTGTTTAAAAAAAAAAAAAAAAAAGATTTTAGATCAACACACTTAATCAAAAGTCTCCATATGATCCTTGGACTGTTGAAGGCCTTTGATAGCAGGCTTTCCACATCAGCTGTTGCCAGGGATTAGAGTTGAAACTTATGATTTTATCACCTAAACTCAGGCCCATCTAATTCTAGATCTGTTATCGGCTGCTCTCGTGCCATCGGTAATAGACAAAAATGGCAGCTTCCCTCCTTGGCAGCCATTCTCTAAAGCATCAGGATTAGGCAAAGTGCCTTTACCACCACGCTCGCTTATTCTCTCATAAAGGCATAATTATAGCATCTTTGTTTGGCTGCATACGTTTGTCATGTGAGCTTTGGTACTGTATAGTGAAAACTCTGCTTATGTGAATCTGTGCATATGATTTTGTTGTATTTGGCTTAACTGTAGTTGGGTGGCTCACTAATATATTAGATTGCTCTAATACATACAGTAGATTATATACAATAGATTGCTTGAAAACATAAAAGACACTTTGGATAAAGGTTGTGTGGTCAGTTCAGTGTTCTTAAACCTAAAGAAGGCCTTTGACACTGTTAATCATAGTATTTTACAAAAAAAATGAAGTAGGTTTAAAATGTCAGCGGAAGCCTTACAGTGCTTTTGGGTCTCATTTGGGCAGGAGCAATATATGAGGATTAAGGTGTTGAAGTCATCTCATCCATGTGTCTTAACAATAAGGGAGTACCTCAGGTGTGTGTACTTGGCCTACTGTTGAACACGCAACAATGTACATAAACAACCTTCAAGATTGCAGTTCAGGGGTTCTCCCAGTTCATACTGGGAGAACAGTTAATAGTTCAGATATAAACACTGATGTTTATGCTCAAGATTAAAATCACAGTTTAAAAGAACTTGATGCTGTGTTGTAGCATTTACATTGTGTAACCAATGGATGGCGACAAACAACCATCAAAATTAAGTCACTGAATAGGTTTTCAAAAATGATCCACCTATAATGAAATGTGCAAGTTTTATGTGTGAATTGTTGAATCATTAATTAAAAATAAATATACGTTGTACAAGATTTTAGATTTATATATTTAGCATTATCAGCAACCGTAGCAAAGATCATATTTCAGATTGAATATTTTTCTCTTTTCAGCTGGCTTTTTCTTGATTTTAATTTTTATTTAAATTACAAGTTCTTAGTTCTATTTTTTAAAACCAATGGTTTTTGCAGTAATATTTTTGTATGAATGAAAAGCAAAAGACATTTGTCTCCTCCCTTTTTTGCTGATCCAAAAAATTGTACGATCCAGGACTCAAAAACTGTAGTGTGATCCAAACCATGAGATTAGTGATCCATTACACCACTACCAGGTATATTCAGATGACACAGATATCGGTGTGTCTGCTAAAACACCTAGCCTGGCAGGTGAGAAACTGACTTGGGCATTAAAGCATATTTCAAGATGAGTTGAATTGTATCATTTAACTAAATGTTGAGAAAACATTTTCTGTTTCTCTGACTGTGTTTCTGTGTGCTTCTCCATACAAAATAGCCATGAAAGGAGTAAATTAGAGGTGCAGTTTAAGAATAAAGTTATTGGTATAGTAAACAAATTCAGGATATCTTGGCATAATTCTAGTCAAGAATTTAAAATTTGAAAGGTTAAAAGTAATTTCAAGAAAGTCAAACCAAGTCTCAATTGGTTTAATTTTGATAAGATTTTTATCATAGTAAACTTCCAATTTTTGTAAAAATGTTTGAATAATCATGTAACATTGCTGTTTTCTGAGCAGTAGGCGTCCGACCTCATAGGTGAACACACAAACAACTATTAATGGTCTTGTTCCAAAGTGTAAGACCTCGTTTGGTCATTCTGTCTTCTCTGTGAAATGAACAAAACTGGGATGCTTTAACTGCTAGCCTAAAATTGGAAAAAATTGTAAATGTTTTCTGTTTGGATACTTAAAAAATGGTTAAAAAACAAAATAGCAGTGTTTACATGAATAGTATATTGTTAGTTTATTGATCATACCACCTTTTCCTTATAGCTTTTGTATGTGATGAATTATGATTGTGTAATTTTTTTTGTAGTTTTTAGTTATTTATTTATTAAAACAACAATAATCCCTTGGACTGGTAATAAAAGTCTGCTATAACATTTAAACAAATACATGTGGCTTGTAAAAAATAAATAAAACGAGTAACCTGATCGAAGTTTTTACCTCCAACATACACAGAATTGATCACATCTGTAGCTTATTTGATGTAAATGCAGCTGAACTAAAATAATGTCAATTTACAAAATAATCTGTATCTCAGCACTTCACATCTTCTGCTCAGGTGTGCATGCTGTGCTCAGTGGGCTTTCACCTGTTCTGCTGCCATCGCTCGGAGAAAACCAGCCGCCGCTGGATGGCACTGGATTATGCCGGGATCTCCATTGGAATCATAGGCTGTTATGTTCCAGGAGTGTTCTACGCTTTCTACTGCAATAATGTACGTGCAAGAGATACCTTCTTCAGTCACTTATTATCTCATCCATCACACATTTAGAACAAAAGTTGCTAGAGATTTAATTGATTTAAGAATTTTTCTGCACACCTCAGTCTTCCAATTTACATACCAGATTTTGGAATAATTAATTATTCCAATAGATTCCAATAATTATTTATTCTGTGCGTGCTCTCTGAGGTAAACAAACAGTACATCAGCTTATGCGTGATTTTGTGGCCGCAAATACATCATTACATGAAGACAGAAATTAAATTTTTTGGGTGAATTATACCTTATAAATACAGTATGTGACACTTTATAAAACAAAGTGAAGACTTGTGTGACCGCCTTTATGCTTCTCTCCTGACCTTGAAATTAAAATTGGCATATAAAAGCTGAATTAAGATTGTGTGCAGGGTCAAATCGAGATCGCAATATTTTTTGATTAATCATACAACCCTAGTATGCTCCCATTACTTGGATGGACTGGCACACACCCCACAAATGTGCAAGGATATCACATGTATGCCGGAAAAATTTTGGATATATGATCCAGGGCTGCACAATATTTAAAAAAAAAAAAATTGTGATAATAGTATATGCGATATCCATGTTGCAGAGAAGTGCATAGGTTGTCTAATCAAATCTGATCAATCAGATGGGGCCTTTACAATCTTCTGCTGTTAGGTGAACCTCGAGCTGAAAATAAATAATGCTTGGAGACAAAGGAAAATTGACCACAGAAAATAAGAATCCAATTTTCTGCTGAGATTTTTAGTCATTCATGGAATAAAAACGTTTTTTGTTTGTTTGTTTGTTTAGGTTTAATTAGCTCAGAAAAAAATATATATTCCATGTTTATTTTAGTGTGATCTTTACATAATTAAAAAAAAAAGTTATTTTTAAATTACGGATAAAATACCATTTTTTTTAAGTTAGATATATTGTAAGAAATATTTTTAGCGCAACACTCAGCAACAATATTGTTACGGAGACCCGTAGGGGACGTGATGGTGGGGGAAAAAAAACTTGATGGGAGAAAAAAAACTGGGTGGGAGAAAAAAAAATTAATAGAAATTTTTGTTTATGTTTTAAGTTTTTGCGTTTCCTTGCAAAGGTTGCATTATCTCGCAAAGATGTTTTGCGTTCCATCGCAAAACTGTTTTTCCACACACTTCCCGTTCACTCATACATGTCTGCCCTTTCGTTTTTGATTGTATTCTCCCGTATTTTACCATTCTATTCCACTATCATCATATCGTTAATTATTTTCTCATATTTTTAATATTTTTCATATTTTTAATATTGAAAGTAGCGGAAATTAATATAAAAATGTCTGCATTCACTTTTCCTTTAAGCTGTGCGTCGATCATTGCCATTCATATGCATCCTCTGAATCAGCGAATGCATGTATAAGCGCTGACTGACATCGGACGCGCATATGATAAACTGAAAAACTGATCCCAGATCAGCTTCTGTACACTCCATTTATTTGAAGTGACACCTCTGTTATCAGAGCAGCAAATGAATCTCATGTTTTGTTTGATAATAGAGTTGTCACTTTAAGAATGCACAGATCTATAATGAAAGCACTCCATAACTTTAACTGTTTGTGCTCATTTAAGATAAAATTAGTTGTTCAAAATAAAACACGCAGGACGGACATGTTTACATATTATTACGTGTATTTGTCTGTTTAAACACACACCCGAATCCCAAAGTGTCCTGCTCTTTAGCTCCCCTTTAAATGTTCTTTTTATAGAAGTTGATCTAGGATCAGTTTATCATACGGAGCGCGTCTGTCAGTCAGCGCTTGTACATGCATTCGCTAATTCAGAGGTTGCATATAAAGAGTGATCGACAGGGGGGTTAACATGTATGAAGTGAACAGGAAGTGTTTGTGGAAAAACGGTTTTGCGATGGAACGCAAGCCATCTTTGCGAGATCATGCAAACTTTGCGAGGGAACGCAAAGACTTAAAAATAAGTTTTCCATTCACAGTTTTTTTTTCTCCCAGTTTTTTTTTTCTTTTACCAAATTTTTCCCCCACCATCATGTCTCTGTATATTGTTGATATAATCCGCTATTAACACCAAAGTATACAACAAAGCAGCACAAGTATTGTTAATAGTACCATTTGACTTGAAGATTATCCATTGTCCAGTACTGACCCAATTATATACCTTTACACAAAAACAAGTTCTCAGTACATAATTAGTAACAAATGCTGAGATGAGATGCATAAAACATTAGTCCTACACATGAGAGCTGTTTAAGAAAAAAAACTGAAAAACTGTTTTCGTAATACATCTTATGAACAACATCCAATAAGCAGAATAATTGACTCTGGGTCATTGAATTATTAGTAAACTAAAGCATACCCAAGGTGGTGATTTGCCCACAACTGGCTCTTTTCCCAGATCTTCAAGGACACCTTTCCTGATCAGTAGGTTCAATATGGTTAGTTTAGGGCTTCAGGGATATGGACGGGTAATGTCTCAATAAGGCAGCTTTCATTTTTGATTTTAATAAATAGCATAAATGTTATGGCATACAGTGAATGCAAATAAGTAGCATTACATTTTTTTTAAAGGATTGTGTCTTATTAGACTGTAATTGAGTTACTACAGTATCTATTATGTATTTACTGATGGCCAACAGTCATTGTGTTGCAGCAATTGTGCATTTATTGTGGTCCGTGTGAATGAGAGCATCATTAATATATAAAGGTATATTTTACTTTGGGCACAGTAATGAATCCTGAACTAAAACCTTCTGGCTCATTGGAGGTACAGGTGTGGGTGATGCTGAGGATACACTTCCTACAACTTAATAAGTGAGGTAATAAATGTTTATAGGTAGAGTTGAAGCCAAGTAGGACACATAGGGTTTCATAAGAATGACGCGGAGAGGCTCTTCACTGTGTGCGATAGACGATTATGGCCAATGTGGACAGGGGTAGATTAATTAGGTGGCTTGAGGTGCATCGTCCCTCAGTGGTCTCTAGCAGCAGATGGTTGGCCTGCTTTTGTTGTGGGCATATGTTACCTGTGCAACAGATACTGAGCAAGAGTTCACCTATTCCCTGGGAAAACAGTCTGGTGTGTGTGCACTGTGAATGCCACACGGAGAGACTGTGCATGTAGTATAGAGATTTACGAGGTTTTAACTTTCTAAATTAAACATTTATTCCTATAAGATGGATTTTTGTGATTGGAAGATATCAGTCACTCAGATAAAACACTTCTCCCATCATTTACTCATGCTCATGTCGTTTTAAACCTGTATTAATTCATGTCTTCTGGAAAAAGAAAATATTTTAAACAACCCAAGGAGATTCTTAACAATATTAGAGTCTTCTGACATTTATTGTGTTTAGAAAACATTTTATATTTTTAAAATGATCTATAACACTATATGTGAAGTTGTTTTGGAATGGAATGAAGGATATTTTTTTCAGGTTTAATAGATAAAAATAGACCCACAAGATCTTCATTATAACTAATTGTGATTTGCATTTGTTTGAAGTGAACATTTGTTTACACGTCGTCTTTGAGTTATTGAATCTTTCATTAAAAATTCATTTGATTTTGTAGAATTTTTGTTAAAATTTGCAATAAAACGTTCTTAAAAATAAAAAGTTCAGATTATTTTTAGCTGACTTAGTTGTGCAATAACTATAATCTCTATTTTAACCCTGTCATGCATGGTGTTCACATTTGTGGACAGTTTAATTTGACTTAATTTAAGGCTCATTAGTCAAGGTAGTTTTCTCCAAACCACTTGAGGGCAGTGTGAGTAGACTGTCAGCAGTATTGTCACAGTGGCTACTCTCTCGCATTCCAGTTATTCTTTGGTTGATGACATCATTAATCCAAGATGACTGTCAGTAATGGCCATATGTAAAAAAAAATGGCCGTATGTTAAATGCTGTAAAAAACGTTTATTCAAGAAGGTCAATTGAGGTAAAATAATATCAGTATGTACAGTAAAGTATGATGAATGTGTTAGTAATTTCTAAACTAAAATTTTGGGTGAAATGTAGTTTTTATTCAACAAAAACTAACTGTCCACATGTGTGGACATCATGCAACAGAGGAGCCAGATTGCATAAAAGTTTTTTTTTTTCTATAACCTGCTAGTAAATTTATTAGATTTTTTTCAAAGATGCTATAAATTGTCTTATATTGTAATAAAGTAGACATTTAACAAATATATCAACATAGTCTTTTAAAAGGACATATTACAGCATTTTACACATTCATATGGAAAAAATTTAGCATATTGCCTTCTAAACAGAGAAAGAATAGATCAAGAAGTCAGTACAGAATAATTGAGAATATTCCAGAGGACAGTGGCAGTGACAGCAGTGATGAGTATGTGCCAGAAAATAGCATACCCATACTGCAAACGTTTTTGCATCAAAATAACTACTGTTATTATTGTTCCTTCAATATGTTTTATTGTTAATATATTGTACTATTATTGTTTTTAATAAATGAGCTGATATGAATAGAATAACAGGCCATTAAAAAAAACACAATATTCCATATTATCAAATATGTCTTTATCTCATTTTACACCTTTGTTGCATGGTGTCCACGTATGACAGGTAAATAATTTTTAAATAAAACCAAATTTTGAATGAATGAAAATGGATTTCAATTTCAGAGTCATATTAAAGTTATAAAATAATAATAATAAATTCAGATAATTGAATTTTTCATAATTCATGCATGAAAGGGTTAAACATACAATAAAAGATTCTCAGTTTCTCAACCGAGTCACTGATGGCTGAATTGTAGTATTTGGTTGTACTGTCTCTTTAAAAGTGAGGAATGGTATAAACATGAGAAAGTTGTAAATGCGCACACTGAGAGCTGTCGTGAGTTGACGTTCCCCGTGAGATTACTGTAACACAGTGCTAGAGCATCCTCCATAATGTTGTACGACAGTTTATTCCTCCTTTCCTGCTAGTTTGCACAATGGACCCCTGTGGAGCGGCTTTGTGCTGCCTGTTTAAAAGCGGCGAGGTGCTGCTTGGCGCGAAATCTTCTTTGTTTCAAGATTGTGGTGCAGTTTTTTTGGAGCTTGGATATCCTGAGCAAGCTGTTTGCTCTCGTCCCCTCCACTCCCACTTGCTGTTTTCCGAGCACCAGCGCTTTTGGCCACGCAGCTCCACATGGTTCTCCCCACATATTGGAAGTGCTGGCTTATTGTGCCCCAGAATGCGGCAGAAATCTGCTCCAGCCCAAAGCAGATGGCCGTGTTCGTGGACCCACTCCGTCACTCCTGTTCCCCACCATATGACATTCACACGTGGGTGAGCCATCGCCACTCTCCCCCTGCCAAGTGTTTAGCTTTGCTTTTTGGATGACTACTCAATCAGCCAAGCGCCCCAAGAGAAAGAGAGAGACCGCTTTCTCCACTGCTTTTTTTTTTTTTTTTTTTTTGTGAGTGATTTACTTTGTGTGCGTGTGGTGTGTGTGTGTGTGTTGTGCACATTGTGATGACTTGCATGTGCCTAATGTTGTTTTGCGTCTGGTGTTTGCAGTACTGGCGGCAGGTGTATCTGGTAACCGTTCTGGCCATGATGTTGGCAGTTTTCTTCGCCCAGATTCACCCTCATTACTTGAGCAAGAAGTGGCAGAAGCTGCGCTCTCTTCTCTTCTGTGCTGTAGCAGGATACGGCCTAATCCCCACCTTTCACTGGATCTGGATCAGCGGCGGCTTCGGTTCACAAATAGTCCAGGTAACTCGAACACTAATGCCTGTTTTATTTTGTTTTTAGAATTAATGAATTTCTGTCTGTTTGTCTGTCTTTCTATCAGCCTGTCTATATATGTGTCTCTCTTATACATATACATTTGTCTGTCTGTCCATACAGTAGCTGCTTTTACCCAGTGATATCGGTAAATAGTCAGAAAATAACCAGAACTAGTAAAAAAAAATGTAAATTCAAAAAAGTGTTGTTCACACAGGCAAGGACATTCTGGAATTTTTCTGGAAAAGAACATTCACACATCCATTTCATAATATCGGTAAATCCTGACATCATTAACCAGAAATGAGCTCTAAACGGCTAAAGGGGTCGGGCTTTTGTTGATGGTTTTACTTTTATTTAAAGCTTTAGTATTCATGCAGATGCTTTGTCTCAGAAGCACAGCTAAATATTTACACATTTGACTACATACAAATTCTATGGATGGATGAGTATTGTAAACAACTTTGATGAAACTTTGATCATAATATGTGTGTGTGCTCACTGGAGCACTCCTTCACGTACACACGCATCAAGCAGCTGAAGCAGAGCTTGAAGGTAAAGAAACAACAGCTCATCCAAAGCATTTTATCGATAATTTGTTCCACATTTGGCATTAAGAAGGAACATAGAAACGTTATCTGACTAACATCTAGCAGCTACATGTTTTTGGGGAAAAAAATATTCAAAAGATTTTATTTTCATAAACAGCGTGGATGTGAATGCATCTGAATGTTCTAATTGGCTGGAGTAGACATCTCACGTCATCACGTTCTAAGCGTGAACACTCTTTTCCGAGTATTTTCCTTCTGCGTTCACACAGCGCAGTATTCCGGCAAATTACCGGTAATGTTACAACTTCTCTTTCCAGAGAATTTAGCGGTATTCTCAAAAATGACCTGTTCACACATGACAGACCGGTCTGTCTTTCTGTTTGTCTATGTCTACCTTTTGGTCTATTTGTCTTTCTGTCTCTACAGTACGTCTATCTATTGGTCTGTCTATCTGTCTTTGTCTTTCTATCAGCCTGTCTATCTGTGTGTCCACTTGTCTGTCTGTTTGTCTATTTACTGACATCTGTTTATGTCTGTCTGTCTCTCTGTGAATATGTCTATCTATAGATGAATTACCATGTTTGTAAACATTCAGGATGCCCGCACAGCGTGGTTGCAGAAACAAAACAGGAGCTCTAGCATTTACAGCGAGAGGAATGACATCCGATGCGGTACAGAGTTTGTTGTTGTATTAGAGAGAAGTTGTATTGATTACATATTATATATAATATTTACATAATGCTTTCAGCGTATTATAACAGCTTGTCACCCAGTGAAAACCACAGTTATTTAGCAAAATTAACGTTAAATTGAGCGGCAATCGTTTGACAGGTGCGTTTGCGACAGCACCCTCCCAATGGATATTGGATGAGACGAAATGGCCAAGCATCCAGCCCCAAATATACAATCTCCTTGAAGCTCCAAGTGTTTTTCCAAGAGAGAAGTTTAAGGCCTACAAGTCTTTGGATGCCAACAATGTTGTTCCGTGTGGTCATGTGCAAGAAATAATGCTCCATGATGACCAGATTCAATACTATGTATTTCTAAAAACCGAGGTTCTGCCTCTCCAAAGACAAGAAGACAGAACTGTACAAGCATTGGGTAATCATCAACAAGCAAAACAACTGTATTCTGACAGCGAACTACACCTGTACGGCAGGGTATGTGAAATATATATTCTTACATTTTATTCTTAGCATTAGGTGTCTGAAGTTTAATTAACCAAATTTAACTGTTTTCTGAAATCGTTGCTGCAATCAAAACGAGTAATGTGTATGATTCAGCAAAGCGTGAACTTACCTGATATGAAATGAAAACTGCAGAGTCCAGCATTTTTATTAGGTCCTCACTCCATTCAGCTCCCTTTGAGCCAAAGACGTCTGCGTTTGGCATTAAAACCAGTGGTGTACAGTAAAAGTTTTCGAATCTGGCATCCTAACGCACAACACGGCACATTTGCTATTGCAACTGGGAACCCATGTGACGTAGGTTGGTAATTCCTCTATTGGTCTATTTGTCTGACGATCTGTCTGTCTATTGGTCTATCTGTCTGTCTCTCTGTCCCTGTCTGTCTATATGTCTATCTATTGGTCTGTATCTATCTGTCTGTAAATGTGTATCTGTTGGTCTATCAGTCTTTAAATCTAACAGAATATTTAATTATATATAATTATTTGCTTATTTAAACAAATAATGATTTTAATTATATTGTGATATTTCATAGTAAAATGTGGTAAATGTATATTTAGTATTACTTATAACATACTAATAAATAGATACTGTAAAATAAACACTTAATGAATACAAGTTTAGTAAAACAAAAAAAATGCATTGGCGAGTATGTGAAAGTTAATTCTAAAAAGGCCTGAGAACATGTATATATTTGGTATATGCCCTGGGTATGTTTTTTTTGTTTTTATATGGTTTTAATTTATTTATTTTTATGTACAATCATGAGTAACAGCTATGGTGATGAATATATCTTCACCCATTTTAACAGAAACAGTAGTAGTAGTGGTAGTATTGTGTTTATATATGTAACATTCTGAAAAAAAAAAACTTATTTATTTTTTTTTATAGGAGTTTCTTCCCAAAGTGCTGATCATGTATTTACTTGCTGTAGCTGCTATTGTCTTCTACATGTCTAAAGTTCCAGAGCGGTATTTTCCAGGTAAATGAAATTCATTCCAACACTTCAATAAGAAGCTCTATTTAATATTTTTAAAAGAATACGCATCCTGACATTCCTGACAGCATTTGTGGATATTTTACCCAATGAAAAAGTTTTGAAGTGAATGACTAAACCAAAGGTTACACCTGCATTAATCAACTCAACTCACACTTGAACACGTAATATCTTATTTTCACAATGCTACATTTTTTTAGCATTTTATTTTAATTAGTTATTCAATTAGCTTAATATAATTAGATTAATATGTGCTTATAAGGTTAATATGAGATTAATATGTGCTTTACAATATTAATAAGTGCTTTACAAGGACTTTTCTTTGTCAACTAAGTTTATCTATTGAAGCTTTTTTGTAGTGTTAATAAACAGGCTATTGCAGGGTACCCATGGGGTCTTAAAAAGACTTAAAATACCTTAAATTTCAAAAACTAAATTTAATGCCCTAAAAAGCCTTAAATTCACTGAATTACTTTGTTGTAAGTCTTAATTTTAAACAGATCTTAATTTTCCTCTGTCCAAGTAAAGCTACCCAATCGAGCCGTCCTCCATCCAATCACCAACAATAAAAACTTAATAAAATCAGGGAAAGAAAACAAAAAACAATTACACAGTTCCTCATGATGATAACAGGACAATTTATCCCTATATTTTATCTTCCATTCGTACAAAAACTATTACAGAAAGGGGAGTAGATATGATATTTATAAATAGACATGAAACTTAAGGTTTTATAACAGAAACGCATTAGGTTAAATAGAAGTTACACTCAATTACTTTGGACCACAAGCCAACAAATATACATTTTTGATTATTTATGTAATTACCTCAACAATAAATATACTTTTAATAATGTTAAAAAAAGAAAGAAATATTAAAATGTTGAAAATAGTGTATACAACTACAGTTTTCTTGTTTTGACACATTAAAGTATGTCAGTAGGATATAATTACATTTGATTTTTTTTTTTTGTGGCAGGAAAAAAAATCCATTGGCCCAACTGGGTCATTAGAAATAATCTTTAGTGTTTAGCCCTCTTAAAATTTCATTCATAATGGTCTTAAAAGGGTCTTAAAAAGTCTTAAATTTGACTTGATGGAAACCTTCAGAAACCCTGTATAGAGAATGATGAAGTTTTCAATCATTATTGTCCATGACATTGGCCAGATTAAAGATGTATATTACACTGTTTATTACAGGCCAAGACTACATGCCACAAAAGTAAGCAATTACATTACACACAAAATGTGAGCTGTAATCATTTACTAAACCCTTTAATTAAACGTAGAGTAAGACAATCCACTTGATCTAACCTACTCTCACCTTTTATTATTATTCTTTTGCAAGATGGTGCAAAACAGTGAGGGACAGTTATTTATATATTTCTGCAAAAAAAAAATTAACTATTGTTTTAAGATTCTTTAATCTTTAATACCCGTTGTAAAAAAAAAAGTAATAATAATAATAATAATAATTTATGAAAATTAAAAACCACAGGCATGTGATCCACCGAGGACATAAAAGTAGGAAGACGAGATCCCCCCCACCCCCTTTAAAAAAAAAGTTTATATATATATATATATATATATATATATATATATATATATGTGTGTGTGTGTGTGTGTGTGTGTGTGTGTGCGTGCGTGAGTGTATTTGAATATATTCACCAATGGTCAAGATGATTTGAATTACTCTGAGAATGTTTTATCAGATTTACCAGTGTCATCCACTAACAACAGACCTTGGATATAACATATTGCATCATATAATATCAGCTCATCAACTCACACTGCTGATTGAGAGATTGTTCATCGGAGAAGTTGTCTTAATGCTTTCATGCTCCTCTTGTAATCTCAGGTCAGCTGAATTATCTGGGCTCCAGTCATCAGGTCTGGCACATACTGGTGGTGTTGATGTTCTACTGGTGGCATCAGGCTGCTCTTTTCATTACCAGCTACCGGCACTCTCACCCCTGCCCAGACCACCCTCTTCATTCCTAGAGTCACAGACACGCCACTGAAGACTCTGGAACAGTCAGTGTTTATCAATATGATAGCGAGGTATATGGATTTTTAAATTGTTTTTTTTTTTATACATATACATTTTGTATAAGTGCCTAGATGTTTAAAGTCAAAATACATAAACATGTAAAGCTTAGGTCTCAAACTGGATTCCTGGAGGGCTGCAGCTCTGCACAACCCTAATTAAACACAGCTGATCCAACTAATTAAGCTGTTCAAGACTACTAGAGATTATCAAGCAGGTGTGAGTTGGAGTTGGTTGGAGACAAACTGTGCCGAGCTGCGGCTATCCAGGAATTGAGTTGAGACTATTGATTTAAAGGCACCTGAGAAGAGAAGCAGTGTTAGGCTTTAAAAAAAGACACTTCTTAAGTCATTTTACAGTATGGGCTTGTGTGGGTTTTTCTATCTGCACAAATGCACAATGTCCGATTAATAGTTAAGCATTCAGTGTTTTATTGTCTGTTACTGTTTACTTTTGGTACCTAAAACTTCCAAGCTTCGTCTTACTGCGTTTTATTTATTTAATTTTTTTCGTGAACAGGAATATTTTGAAGTTAATGTACACTAAGTATTAGTCATTTTACTGACAACATTCAATGAACCAAAGAGATTTGTTAGGGCTTGTTTAGAATTGGTAGATAAACATTTTTAAATGATATTTTGCAGGTTATCACATACACTGTAGCGTGACGCGTTTCAAATACAGACACAGGATTATGTGTACAGTTCACTTTTGCTGGGTACTGACATTTACTATTTAAAAAAAGAAAAAAACATTCCGTTAGTCTCATTAGAGCTCTAATGTCACAAAGTTCGGGCTGTAATGTGTTAGGGCAGGTCTCATTTTGTCTGACAACAGTGAACTGTACAGCGGTGTAATAATATTATTTTTTTATTAATAACGGCAGTCGGTTTGTAATGCATAACTGTAGGGTGATGTGCATTTTTATGTGAGCTTTTTCATGATGTTGCTTACTATTTTTATTTATTTGTACTGTATATTGGGATATGATCTTGAGCTGAATAAACATTCACCTTGTCCTTTTCAACTACAGTCATGACGATTCCTTTATGCCGAGTTCAGACGATTTTCAAAGTAGTGGCGTCACAGATGTTTTTACACTGCATGACTATCTGTGGTGGCGTTCTGTCTGCTGTGTTTACACTAAGATGGATCGGTGGCAGGGGGTTTCACACTGCATGACTATACAATAGGAGAATCGCTGACAACTTTTACCTCGTTTCGCAAACTTCATCTCACAACCCAACACTCGAGAAGTGACATAGAAACAAAGCTAGGTCACGTAGTATATCTTTTGTTATTAACTATGTAATGAGACAGAAGCCTTTTTAGAAGGGTAGGAAAAGTACTTATTTTGCTCACCTGGCCTTTGAAGGGAATTAGCAATTTCTCCTCAACTTCATTTCTTTTTCGACACTGTTGTGATATTTACTGAGAAACAGACACGGGTGCTGCTGCCAAATTTACACTAGTTTTTTCCATTTTTTGGGTCCAAATTAGCAAAAAATAAATGCTTTTAACCTCTGCCCCAACCTTCGGCCTATACTAGTGGATGCTGCTCTCATGTTATTTTCTCTCAGAACACATTTCACACAGTATGGTTTGAATTGCCGACAGCTCCAGATATTTAGCACGGCAAATATCTGATGGGTGTCAGCGACTCATCAGCGATTCCCTCCGATTGCGTCTTTGATAGTTCACACTGTGATTGTTACTCACATGAATGAGCACCGATTTGCCTGTGATTTCAGGCATTTGTCTGCGATTTCTCAAAACGTAAAATTATGCACACTGAACTTGGCATTAGTAACTGAGTATGTCATGGACACTAATAGTCTGAATTTAATACGATTAAGACAATACTCTGATTATACCATGTAAACAAGCAATTTTTTTGATCACCAGACCAGCGCATTGATGTGCTGCTATTGCACAGTGTCATCCACGTGACTGAATGCTTCGTGAAGAACAGGGGGGAAATTAAACATGCTAGACTTTCTGCGATGGTGTCGTGAGGCGTCGCAGGCATGGGATCAGTGGTCGTGAACTATACTACAATACATGAGAATAAACGATTGAATCTTGTCAAGACGCCCATTTGTCACTTACGGATCCCCACAACACCCTACATCAAGAAAATCTTGCCGAAATTGTGACAAATTTGTGTGATCTGACCGGGGCTTTAATTTGACAAGTCATAATCAAACTAAACAAAAATCGAATAAAGACGTTGAGTATGCCGATTTTAGTTGCATTATTAAAGTGCTGTACATTATATCTCGCATCCAATATCTTGTTTGTCACAGGGGCATGCATGAAATGTTCCTGGATGAAAGTGAAAGTGCCAAACTGCAGTTGAAGTCGACAAATTAAGAATAAAATACCTGAAATTACATGAAACTCCAAAGGAAATGTGGCTAGCGTGCTGACGCAGTGACATTAATCGAATTATGCGCTATAACATGTAAAACGGAATCAAGAAAGAAACATTCTAAAAGCAGCTCATGTAAACACCATCATAATATTGTCTTATTCAGATACGAGCAAATGATTCCATTACTGGTGTTTATATAAAAGTAATCACTGTCAGACCAACAACAAAACCAGCCTGATCTCATGAGAAAACGTAAATATTTTACGTTTTGCCAGTTTAGTGGCTATGTTGTACGGATTCGTAAGAGTTCAGTCGTACGAACTTGTACGATTTTAAAAAGGAGGCGTGGCACCTAACCCCACCCTAAACCCAACCGTCATTGGGGCATGAGCAAGTCGTACTAAATTGTACGAATTAGATCGTATGAATTCATACGAATTAGCCACTAAATCAAAAAGGTACGAATTGCCGTGAGATTGTGTTGACAAAACACACAAATGCCGTTTTCTCACAAAAATGATTTTATTGCATTGTTAGAGTGTAGTATTACATAATAATAATAAAAAACATTGCAATGTTTGAAAGGAGTGGGGGGGGATATAAAGCATTTTTGGTCTTAAATGTTCCAACTGCAAATATTCAGTGATATAAATGAATCCCTAGATGGCCCTTTGTGCTTACTTTAAAACTAGTTTTAAAAATGGACGTTATATAAATATGCAAACTTAATTTTTCTTAAAGCTTTATTTACTTCCCTTTCTTAAAAGAGCTCTAAATATTCATGCCTAATGTACATACAGATCTTGTGAAACATCTATTGATAACAACAGATGTTTCATTCAGCGTGGGCAATTACAAATATCGACTGACTTGCGTTTAAATTCTCTAGTGTGGTCAATTTTCCAAAACTCCCTTTTCATGTATGACGTAAGGACATAGTCAAAAACAAAACGCCAGGATTTAAAACAATGAATAAAAGTGTAAAAATGTGAATAAAACCATCTATGTGAATGACGAAAGGCCTACTTTCGGATGACTCCGCTGACACATGCGCTTCTACAGCCATTGTGTGTTTGAGGTACAGTTACGCAGGGTGAGGAAAACCCAGATAAGGCTTCACGGTGTTTCATCATGTTGGTCGGCGAGTTTTACCAACTCAGTGGTCAACGATGAAGTATAAAATGCTCAACTACATTGGTATTTTTGCTTTTAATCCTATTAAAATGAAGGATTATAAACGCATCTCCACTGTGTTTTTTAACGAGCACAGAGCGCTTACTAAATTGCAGCATAGAAGGTTTCTAGCAAGTAAAAGGCTAAAGAAAATGCTTATTCAAAAGCACTCATAAACCACAGGTTTAAGTCACCAAATGAAAACAAAAACTGTTACTGCTGTCCAGTTAGATATTAAAATACTTAAAAAAAAAAAAAAATTAAAAAAAAACCTACAAAAGTTGAACATCTAATTGAAAGGCCTACATCCCAATGGGCAGCACAGACAGAGATCACATCACTGTCGTCCACTAAAGACTTCTCCAAAGGCTGCTCGGACTTTGCATAATGTAGCAATGCATGTGTAGGTGTGTGTTTGTGTTCAGTCTCTTGTGTGTTGGAAGACGAGACATTCACTGCTTTGAGGGGAAAGGTGCGGCTCCGAATGGGTCAAGATCTATCTGAGGGGTTTGCGGAGCTCCGCTTTGGACCACCAGTTCTGTGAAAGGCACAGCTCCAAAGTCATCCATCTTGTTTCCATCAAACACACTGTGCAGCGAGCTGGTCCTCGGCCTGCCGTTATTCGAGTTGATCTCACTTTTTCCATCTCCCAAGCTCTGGTGTCGACTACCATCTTGCGGATGGAAAGGCTTGGCTCCAAAAGGATCCAGCGAAACCTCCTCCGAGGGCAGAGCAACTGCTTTCTCCATCACCTCGCCCAGGGAAATACTGATGTTCTCTTTGGAGTCGGATGTGCTGAGGAACTCATTGCTGCTCTGAGAGTCCCGTCTGCCGACTTTCTTGTGCCTTCGTACCCGCTCAGGAGTGCGGAAGCTAGGCTTGTTGGTCTTTCTGCCACCGGTTGGCGTCCCGTGGTGTCGCTTTCCGTTGGTGCTACTGGCCTCCTGTTTGGTGCGCCTTTGCCGTGAGGAGAGTTTCTGAAGGCTGCGCTGCTTCTGCCTCTGCTGCTGAGGACTCGCTGATTCGTCCAAAGAGGCTTGGTCAAAAACGTCCTCCTGGGTCCCGGAGGTGGGTATGATGTGGAAAGGTGAGAATCCGAATACATCCACGCTGTCGGGGGAAATGGGTGGTGTCTGGCCGCCGGGTCCATCGCCGCTCCTGCTGGATCTGGAGAGGTTTCTACTGAAAGGAGCTTTGGTGAAAACGTCAGTCTCTTCTAAGGCGTTCTCCTGGCTAGCCTGCCTGAAAGGGGCTTTGGCAAAAATATCAGAGCTCTCCGGTGCCTGACCGCTGCCAACAAAAGGAACAGCACCAAACACATCCACTAGGTTTTTGGCAGTCATGGAGGCGCTTGGTGAAATGGGGGGAGTGATCACGCTGGCTCCAGATTCAACAGCAGGCGGGACCTCTGAGAGTTTCGCTTTTCTAGAGTCACAGTCGGAGTCTGAGCTGTGTTTGTCCTCCTCTTCTTCTATCTCGTCTTCAGAGTCCATGAGCAGAGGCCTCTGTCCCAGGTTTTCAGGCTCGGTGTCTTCATGTTCGCTGTTGAGAGCTTCCTCTTCTTCCACCTCCTCATCTTCACTGCTTTTGGGAGAGGGAGGATCAGACTCAAAATCACTGTCTGAGTCCTCGCGGGCTTTTTGAGGCAGGGAACCAGTGGAGCTGCTTTTCTTTGCAGGTTTGCGCTCTTTGGCCAGTGGCGGGGTGGTGTCTTGAACAGAAACACTGGGGTTCTCCACTGGATTCTCTGCTGTCAGCACACCGGCTCCTGCTGAATGAACAGCAAAAATGAATGTCTGATGTGCATGACATGACTTTAAATGATTAAAGTGCTGTTTCGGGCTGCCTAAACTCTAGTTCAGAAATGCCCAAACTAGGGCCTGCAGGCCAAAGTTGGCCCATAATAACCTTTGATTTGACCCACCATCCCATCTGAGAACAGAGAAAAAATTAAGGGGAGGGTTGGGGGCAGCCCTTTAATAGAGATTGTCATTTCTAATTTATTATATTTTTTTGTTTCTTAATTGTATTTTTTTTAGCTACAAAACAACAACTTGAATGAAATGTTGCAATTAAATGTTGTGAACAGACTAGATTAATTTAAATGTGCATTAAACTCTGTGTTAATGGAATTGTTTGTTTTTCTTGTAATAAGTAAATTATAAAATGTTGAAAAAATTATAAAGCATTAGTTAGGCTAATAAGATTTCTATTTATTTTTAAATATTGCTATATTTATCTTCAGCCCAAAGCCCTCAGTTATTTTTGGATTTTGGCCATATTTTAGATATGGGTGTAAGTAAAATAATGTATAATTTTTTTTTTTTTCTGTGAATATCTGATAACCTTTCTTCCTAATTTAAATAAAAACAAATTACAAACATTTAAAAAATGTATTAACTTGAGAAAATAAATAACAACTGTTCAGAATAACAAATGTTTTTTATGTGTGATGTATTATTGGTTATTATGTCAAATATTGATTTCATAACCGTTCTGAAGTCAAAACATTGGTATTGTGTTGTCTTAAAATGATAAAAAGTCAAGAACAATTTATCTTAAAATAACATTTTTTTTTTTTTTGAAATTTTAAAGAGATGCTATTAGTAATTTACTAAATGAAACTACATGTTTTACTCAAATACTTATAAATAGCAAATGCTAACAAAATATGATTTGGTGACAAAACTATAAAAGTGGGTTTTTGGTCACTTTATTTTAAGGTACAACTCTCGCTATTAATAAACCAAAAATTATATATATATATATATATATATATATATATATATATATATATATATATATTTTTTTTTTTTTTTTTTTTTTTTTTATTGCTTATTATTAGTTGTCAAGGTAGGACATTGAGATGTACATTGATGGGGCCCTAGTTTGGGCTCATATTGAGATATAGAAGGTGGGCCATTTATATGGATACACCTTAATAAACTTGTTTATTTCACATGAAAAACAATGGTGTGCTTGGTTTTGAATGTAACTTTATTCTTTCATGTGTTAGTTACAAGCCCCCTCACATATACTAATGTGCCACAAACAGGACTAATATCACCAACCATTCCCATTTTTTAAGGTGTATCCATATAAATGGCTCACCCTGTATATTGAGGGGAACAACTTCATTGTTTTATGTTCAACTGACTTAAATTTGCAAAAACAATTAAGTTAACTTCATTTATGTTGGAACAACATGAAGGAACTGCATTTTCTACAACATTGAGTTTAGGTATTGGGTAGAATTAGGGATGTAAAATACGATCATACAGAATAGGTACTTTACAAGTACTGATAAATAGACAATATATTTTTTATAGGCTGTTATTAAGATGCTGCTAGTTAATAGTGAGTAGTTTTTAAAGTGTAGATTGACTGTATATTTACTATCAACACCTTAACTTTCTAATTTTGAATATAATGTAATAACATGCACCTTTTGTAAAGCAGCTTTGGATCTATACTTATTATGAAGCTTAGGCAGAATATTTTAGACCAAGGGTGCCCAAATGTTTTTTGCATGAAGGGCCAAATACCAAATAATCGTGGGCCAAAAAAAGGTTAATATAGGAAACTACTTTACAAATTCAAATTGTCATGGGTAATTTCCTATTGGCTTGATCTGCTCACCAAAGTCTCTGCATTATCTTCTATGTCATGTCTACATTTTAAACTAAATCTGATTCATTTACACTAAAACATTTCATTTCAGATAGATTTTTTATTTATTTATTTTTTTTTGTAGCTAACAATAAAATCCACAAATATAAGGTTACATTAAATCTGAAATGACAATCTTTAAACAATTTTCAGATGGCTGGGCAAGTTTGGACTTGTCTGTTCTAGACATTTTCGATTTATTTTAAAGAAAAGAAAATAGACATTTTATGAGACACTGAAAGTGTAAGGAAAACTATCAATTTCTTTTTCACACAATTCGTTTAAGCAAGGCAAGCTTTGCTACAGAAAAACACAATATTTGTCAACATGTATAATTATTGAGATATTTTTCTAAAATTTGAAACGGCTGAATTTCTCAACATGGTTCTCCATTGCCATCCTTCCCCTGCTGAGCAGACAGAGCTGCGGATCTGTTCTCATCACATCCGTCCAAACTGGCAGAGCGAGACTCGGGATTAGCCAAACCCACTCCCATTTATCTATATATACAGTATAATTTCCAAAAATATATAAACAAAACAAAGTTAAATAACTAATTAAGTAAAGACTACTTCTGCTATATGATATTCAACAGCAGACGGAGAAACTGCAACTGAAAAGAAATCTGAAGAGAGAAAAAAATTATATATATATATACGCACACACACACACAAGCAGACTGTTTAGACCATCCGGATTACAACACATCTAATCACGCCTTCCTCCCAGAATACAACAATCCACAGAACGTCCTTAATCATATAAGAAGATCTTGACCAAAAGAAGAATATTGAGTGCTCTTTTTCCAGGCCCATCCGATTACGACAGCTCTATAAAGTCAGCTGCTGCATGATGGCTCCAAGACTTTCCCTGAATAAGGAACATAATGGGAATGTCACATTGGTCTGAGATTGTTGTGGATCTTGTGGATTACCCAGAACTCTCTTCACCCAGTTCAGCAGATGTCAAGCCGATTGTCTTTCTTTGTCCTCATAATGTATGCAAATTACTTTACAGACATTGTGTTTTTTCGGTTGTTTAAGGGCTGCTTCATTGTTTTCTCTTTTAAACACTCACTTTAACAATAGGACAAAGCATTTAAATGAACAATACATTATTGGCCATCGTTTAATCGGATGATTTAAATTTAGTAAACATGATGATTGTTTAAAAATACAATAAAACGATTATTGTTCAAATCTGAAAAGGATCCAGTGCTTTAAAGGTATTTAATCAGTGCTCAAAGTGTAGCGTTATTTACCATTGCACTGCTATATCTTTAGCCAAATTCCATTAATATCTGAAAAACCTGAAATCCTTGTGATCTGGAGTTTTGTGACTGATTAATATTGCCATGTATATTTCACTCATCTTAATGTTCATTCTAAAAAATTCCTTTCACTCATCAACATTTTTCATTATGACCAAATAAAGTTCTAAATGACAATTTTACTTAAAACGTGAAAGACATGTCATCTGTACAAAATTGTGTTTTAAAATACTTACAAAAATTATCATCACTAACAAACAATAGATTTGGTGATTTTTAAAAAAAATAATAAATTATTAGTTTTTTTTTTCTAATTTAAGTGCATTGAATATAAAATATAAATAATAAAAAAAAAATAAAAAATTTCTGCCCCAAAAAGTCTAAAAATTGTTTCGTTAGAAAAAAAGTAGTTTGAACAAATAGCGAACATTCATTTTCCTTTGGTGTAGTCCCTTATTTATCAGGGGTTTCTTCAACGGAATGAACCACCAACTATTCTGGCATGTTTTGCACAACTAACATTGCAATTTTTTTTAATTTTGCAATATATACATATATAGCGATATTGCGATATGAATTCAATTTCATCAGATGACTTAAAATCTCTGTTTGGAAAGAATTGATCATGGTAAATTGATTTGGATGATTCTGCAGTGGGAGTGTATCTCCAAAAAATCTAATAAACAATCTAAATGCAATCAAGAAAAAGACACTAATAGACAAAAGACAATAATAATTGAAATAAAGTGTTTTATCGTTTTCCAAGTCTAACACTATTCATTCGTTCTCTTTTCCCCTCAGTCCACTAATTAGGGGTCACCAAAGCGAAATGAACTGGCAACTTATCCAGCTTATGTGCAACCCCACACTGGGAAACACCTATACACTCCTGCATTCACACACATACACTACGGCCAGCTTAGCTTTTTCAGTTCACCTATACTGCATGTCTTTGGAAGGTGGGGGAAAGCGGAGCCTAACTGTATTCAAGTAAAGTAATTGAATGATAAAACAAAGTAATTCAATGTGTATTCAAAAAATTTTAATTAATTTTTGTAAAGTCACAAATATTACCATTTCTTTAGCCTGAATGCTTTTACAATCATTATACTATCATGGGCATCAAAACACATAAAGATGATAAATTATAATAAAAATTGTGATATATTCTGTGATGTGACCATTGCGAATCATCACATTGAGATAGCGATGCTGAAACGATATATTTAGCAGCCCTATTTCAAATTTTTTTAAAGCTTTTTAAAGGATGTCGGAAACTGATAATCACAGACTTCTATAGCAGAGGACAAAAATTCGATGTATGTCAATGGCTACAGGTTTCCAACATTCTTCAAAATATCTATCCAGTTTGGAACATGTGGAAGGAAATAATTGACAATTTTCATTTTAGGGGAACTTTGTTTAACAATGGAAACTATTATTTAAATTAATTTAGGCAAAATGTTTTTGTAATAATCAACCTTATGCTGTTTTCAATGTAGGTATTCTGCATACTCCTTTATAACTTATACAAGGGGTGTCCAAACTCGGTCCTGGAGGGCCGGTGCCCTGCAGATTCTAGCTCCAACTTGTCTAAACACACCTGCAAGGATGTTTCTAGAAAGCCTAGTAAGAGCTTGATTAGCTAGCCCAGGTGTGTCTGATTGGGGTTGAAACTAAACTTTGCAGGACACCAGCCCTCCAGGGCCAAGTTTGGACATGCCTGACTAATATAAATGTGCATTTAACGTTAGCATTTAAGTAGAATTTAACCTGTAACTAGCTTTGGATACTAACATTTGAATGTATTTTTTACATGTATTCATTATCCCTTATGCTTTACCAAACTAAAAACTAAATAATCTCAAATAAAATTGGTAGACAAAGACAGCCATGCTTTTAAAATGACAAGAAGAGAAACATCTTGGTCTTGTGGTATAAAGGTGGAAAACATCAGCACTTCATATACTCATCAGTCAAACTCTCCTGATAACAGAAATCAACAAAGTATAGCACTGCTTTTGAATAAGCTTTATTAATAATTAGCATTGTATAAAGAAACATTCAGTTATACATTATGATACATGGGTATTTACATCAGTTTGTTAATCGCAGACATTAACAGCTTATGCAACTGATGCAGTATGTACGTATGCATGTATGTATGTACAGATGAAAGCAGTCGCTGAGGATGGTGAAGCCATGAACTTCTGTCATCTACAGGAAGAAACGAGCTAAGACTTTGACACCCGTACTGTGGTCTACAGGGCAACACCAGTCTTAAAATAAAAGATGTTACAGTGCACTTAGTATTTAGCGCTAATGATAACCAACAATAACAAAACAGTAACCTACAACTCCAATTTATATGCAAGTGAATGTAGACCAAATCTTCAGATTAGACTTGCTCAATATGGCTCAACATAGATTTCAAACAAAAGCTTTGTGTTCAGTTTTAACTGTCCACCGATATCCCACTCCATCAAGATGTCTCTAAATAAATGGCTGTCTTTATCTGATACGAAACAAAAATGGTAACAAACACATTAGAGTTTATAAATAAAGCATAACATGTCACCAGATAAAGCAAAGTAACTTGAGTGGGGGATGAGATGAATGAACACATTAAAATGGTTTACTTTAGGATAAACTTACCGTTGAGGATAAACATAAAGGTTCGGTAAACATTATGGTAAGCCCTTATGTAAACTATTCATAAATGCTCTGAGCAAGTACCTCTAAATGCACATGCAGACAAGGAAAACATTTGCCATTACTTAAGGCTCACTGCTGCCATTATAATGAGACGGCAACCAATGACGTGATATGTCTGTGTTGTGGTTACTAACATGTAAAAAGGCTCATACATTCATAGACATAGCGTTTTCTATGGAAAACATCATCTGCGACCAGAAAAAGAGTTCTAGCGTAGGCTACATAATAATAAGACATCAAATTATGCACAAAAAAAGAGGGGGGCTGCCAACTCTTAGTTGCTTCTGTAGATGCAACAGTTTCTGATTATTCGGCTAACCTCACTTCCAAGTTAACCTGCCAATGTTCCCTAAATTGGCAACTTAAAGTATCTTCACAGTAATTTACAGAAAGGAAAAACAAGTCTCAATGAGGAATTTAAAGCCAACTCAACGCTGGAGGAGAGAGAGACTTGTGTTCAACTCCCATGAAAAATTGGCATGTTTACAAGTAAACAAAGTGAATATGAGGATCGCTGGAGTTTTTCTATGGTTTGAGGTCCATAGAAATTGTACCTGAGAACTTTTGGCACTCGCTGTTGCTATCAAGCACAAAATGTAGCTAAGTAGGTCTGAAGAAAAATCTAGGAAGTGGAAATAAATGAGGTTGCTCAAGAATCTGAAAATCTATTCTATCATGCCAACCTGATGGCTTTAACAAAACATGCAAATGCCAAAGGAAAGAAAGAAAATCCCTTAAAAGTTGACAATTTCAAAATGAAAATGTTAGTCCTGAGAAAATAAAAGTGAATAATTCACACTGACATATGAGATTAGACATAGACAAACATTTCTATAAAAGAGTTAGCCCAAAGTATTAAAAGTAAACCTATTAAATTGTTATTTAAAAATCGCAGATGTAAAAAGAAAGAGCACAGCACACATTTACTATTGCAGGTGCAAAGACAAACAAAAGATTAAGAGCCGAAATAAAAAACGTACAAGGCACCAGCAAGAAGCATGGAGGTGCTGTAAAGCTGTGGTTTGGTGAACCATTAATCCCTAAAACAAACATAAACACCTAAAACAACATATCATCTGCATCTATAACTCTTATTATCGCTTATAGTTCTAACTGATAAATATGCTTTATTTCTATGCTTGCGTTTACTACTAGTTCCAGCCTTTGGGGGAAGATGCCATCTAAATCTATACATGTACCAGATATATATAATGTCTTATTGAAGTCTTACACCTTATGAATAGTGAGAAATAGAGCAGTTTTCTAAGACAAAGCCTGAAATGACGACTCTACTGTTGTCATCTACTTAAAATGGTTAAAGGAATAAATGGTGGTAGTCTCCGGGCTCCAGATGTGATATGTGTTGCAGAGCGGCCACATCCGGCAGCACAGAGACAGAGAGGGGGTTCGGGAAGAGCAGGAATAAAGGGAGCACATGGAGGAGAGAGGAAGAGGACGATACACAGGGAACTTTGGTGAGGGTCCTTTGAGAGCCGGCTGCTAGAACTTGCCTGCGTTGGCCAGGAAGGGCACAGAGCCAAATGGATCCTCGGGGAGTGAGGGCTGCAGGACCGGCTGCTGTCTGTCTACGCTGCTGGCCTCCATGCTGACTGATCGCTCCACTGGCTTTTCTGTGGGCAAGACGAATATGTTAGTGTAGGAATAAAGCAGGTCACATATGCCCTCTGCTGGAGAGGGTGAAGATTACTAGTAGAGGAGAGAGAGAGTGGTCAGGTTGTGCAGAAATAAACAGAGACACTTGCTTGCTCTTAGAAGGTCGAATTCTCGATTGAGAAGCTCCTCTTCGGTGAGTTTAGAGAAATTATCTTCTCCAAAGGGGTTCCAGCTTGACATATCAGGAGGGTTGCTGACGGTCTGTGGAGGGGGGCTCATGACATCCACAGCAGACACTGGATTTCTACTGCAACTGAAAAAGCAGAAACAGCAGATTTAAATAGACATACTTTAATGGGTGAATATTAGTACTATTTATAAAAGAGAATCAAGACTTTTTAGAACTTGTGCAGTTAATAAGGTTAATAGTTAAGTGTTGATCACAAAATTGTGAGCGATGTTTTCCAGAATATCAGCATTTGATTGGGACTGGTGGAGCTGCACATCGATGGATTTGCTCATCAGTGTTTGGACTTCAGCGGTGAAAATTAAAACACACTGAACTTCAACTTTGAAAACTGCACTGAAACTGTTTCACTTTACTAGAATCTTCTATGTTAAGCTGCTTTGACACAATCTACATTGTTAAAGTGCTATAGAAATAAATATTAATTTATTTCTTCATAATTTAAGGCAATATTGAGCACACATTTTAGACAGAATATTGAATTTTGTTTTGCCAAGAAAAGAACGTTACAGACAAAGCTACAGCTATGTTAATACATTATGGAATCGATTTTCCGTCATTTGAGTCAGTGATTCAATTATCTGTTCAAAGACAATTACCTGCTTCATTTCTAAACGAATCAGTCATTTTGAACTTTTGAATTATTAAATTATGACATTTTAAAATGGGTACTTGCTGTAACCGACTGGCAAATATTTGTGCTGTTTTTATCCATAAAAGACCTAAACCAGCCAGTGTCAGCAAGTGTAAAAAAAAAAAAAAGATTATTATTATCATTGTAAAACACATTCATTGCAGGATATAATTTGTTAACATCACAGAAATATCTCAGCACTACAGCAATTTTTGACTAAAATTCAAGTTTTTAAAAATTTTACAAATTTAATTAACAAGGTTTTTTAACACACTGTTGACCAAAATAAATGTATCCTGTGCAATACTTTAACATATACAAAAAACACTATTAAAGGAAATGTCATTAAATAATACAAATAAGCTTTAAGACCCTAAAACACATTCTACTGACAGTGGGTTTCTGCAGGATTCAGCAAGTTAAATTTAAGACTAAGACATTTTAAGACCATTCTGAATGAAACTTAAGACTCATACAGGGCTAAAGGCTATGGAGTTTTTTGATTGGCCCAGTTGGATTTATATTTGCCCAATCAAACTTTTTAAAATTTAATAATACAATAATTATAATTTAATTATTAAAAATACATATATTTTAGTTCATTCTGAGCAAAATATTTTAAATAGTGTTTCAAATGAAGCAATAAAAATAAAAAAGGTTTAATCTAAAGTATCTAAGATTTTATAAACTATCTATCCAAACTAGTCTGTCCAGGTCAGTAGTATATACATGGATAACTTTTAAACAAATGTTATTGTAAAGAAAATAATTGAACAATTATGGTGAATAAAGTAAAAATGGATTGTTGAGGTTGGCTAGACTGGGTAGGAAAAAAGGAACTATTTAAAAAGATTTAAGACTTACAACACACACAAAAAATTGTTTCTGAGATTTAAGACATTTTAGGAATTTTTAAGACCCTGTGGACACCTTGTGACAGCTGCAAAACTAAGTTCATGTCGTATGACATTTAAACTGGAAAAGGACATGAGTCTTGCCTGATGTTGGTGAAGGGAGTCTCTACTGGAGAAGGTCCGGCAGGATTATAGGAGCCCACAGAGGTCTGGAACTCTAGAGGGGAGATATAGGGCACCTGGTGGACTGGAGCACACTGCTGCTGCTGAACAAAAGCCTGCTGGTACTGCTGCATCTGTAAGGAGACAAAAATAACATTTCTGTAAATTCAATCATTAATAGTTGAACATTGTACTGTCATGACTGCAACTTTCCTATAGGGCCGTTACTCATGTTTCTGTCTACATCCACGCAAATGGCATGTTTTCTGAATTGTGACACCACAAAATAAACAGAGCAAAATATGAAATGATAGACTTTTTCATTTGCCCATACAAAATATTCATATTGTCCAGCCTTAAACCAACAAATAGCAAGTTTAAATCCACAGTTTTTCCTGATCCCATCTTTTTATCTCTCTCTCTCTACCTTCAATTCCTGCCAGTATCTATTTTCTTATCATTATAAAATTAATTCTTACATTTATTTGATATATTTTTGGCATGAATACTCTTTCTAGATAAAGACTTAAATGGAATATAAACATTACTGCAAAAAAGGTCAAGGAGATGAAGTCCTGGTCATCTGGGATATTCTGAGACACTGACTAGATAGATGGCCATGTATCATGCTTCACTTCTGATCTGACTACTTTATTTGATCCACCTGTACTCTGCATATTTTTCTCTTAGGTCTTGTTTTGTGTTTCCAGTTAGTTATTTTTTGACTTCATGTATGTTTGTGTACCTAAAGTTATCTCTACTTGTTTACGGTTTCTTTTAATGTCTGCCTGTACTATCGCTTTTTGATACATTCTTTGTAAAATGTCCTTGAGCTCAGGAAAGGCGCTATAGAAATAAAACATCATTATTAATATTATCATTATCCATTACTTTCCACTTTATATGGCAAACAGTGCTTTGTACATTACAAATGACCATGAGGACACAGAAAGATGGAAAGACACACAGACAGAAAGAGCGCCGGAGAGGCCTTTGAATTTCCCTACAGTGTAATTGCCTCATATGTTACGATTTAACACAGAGAATCGGTCGATTTCACCACCCCATTCAATCCCCTGATGGTTCTGCATGGAGCAGATTGCATCTGAAATTAAACAGATGGTAACCATTCGGTGGAAAATGAGCTAAAAATTGCTCCGCCTTAACATTATCTATTTAGCGAAAGTCAGTTAGCAACATTTCCTCTTTTAGCGTAAATACAATTCAAAGGAATTATTGACGGTTATGATTGGGCGAATTCACTTGGATGGAAAAACAGTTTGGCACAAAAGCTGCTTCAGTGAGTGGGGCCAAATGAGTATTTAAGGCAAAGATGGTCTAAATTCAGACATTTATGAAATAATATTAATTAAATTCAATATACAAAATAACCTACTGACATATGGATAATGGAGAATAAAAAACACCATCCTCCTCAAAGCTTCTTGATGTTCATTTATAAATACGCCTCTTTGATATTAGGACGGCATCCATTTCAAATCTGGCAAAACTCCTCTGAGGAGTAAAGCGATGGCCCTGCCACTAATGCTCCAGGTGTGTGAGGCGTCTCACCAGGGCAGTGTAGTGAGCCTGCTGTTGCTGCTGCTGGGATTGATATATGGGCTGCTGCTGCATCATCATCTGTTGCTGCTGCTGCTGAAGCATATGCTGGTGCTGCTGCATCTGAAGACTCTGTTGCATGGCCTGATGATACTGCAAATGATGGAGAGAGACAGTAAACAGACAGAGATGTCAGTGCACAGTCGTGATGAGCGTGGGTGTTCAATTTATGCTTCTCAATATGTTCAGTATCAGTCTTGTCATCAAGGTCTATGTCTTCACATGATATGAACCTAAAGCCACATACATTTCAAATTTTGCCCAGCAGGCTTCAACTCCAGATTTTAAGCAATGTTTAAAACATGACTAAAGATCGATTAAATGTGACATGTTTTACTTTCATATTACTGGAACAACCAAACAAGCACAATGTCTTGATCTAAACAGCATATTTAATTTCATAATCTATTAATAATAAAAAGGGTAATTCATCTCTGACAAGATGGGCTTTTAATTTGAAAATTCTGTAAGACTCAATTTTGATGGCCCCTATTGCATTTTGTTGACTAAAAGTTGCATTGCATCTGCACGCCAATTACTTCACATTTGAGTATTAGTAGACTGTCTGCTTAATATCTGCTGATATTGCTCCTTCAACAAACAATAACTAACTATAAGAAACTTTGCAAGTACATATCAACTTACACTAATCCGGTACATGCAAGTACATGTCAACTTACACTAACGGTTTACTTATAATCTATTGAGAATTAGATGGCATGTAGATGAAATGTAAATTAAAATCAACAAAATGTGTTAAGGGGACCATCAAAATAAATTATACAGAAAAATTTTCTATATGATGGAATGGTGCAAAAATATGCATTGTGTATCTTTCAGTGGAGTCCCCGTCAATAAACACATTATTGTGGGGCAGGTCACAACAGGGTTCCCACACTGTCATGGACACCAGTTTCAAGGACTTTAAATTACTTTAAAAGCACAATCTATTTTAAATCAAGCATCTTTGTAACTCATACCCCAGCATGTGCCATGAAAGTCTTAACTGTACTTAACCTTTCACTTAAAGTAAAAAAAAAATACATTAAAATGTTAAAGTAGTTGACCTTTTTAAACAGTCATGTTCAAACGTTAATGAAATTTGTTAAATTTAATACTGACAAACAATGCACATTTGATCAATTTTTTCAGAAACTGCATTTGAATATTAATTTAAATGCAGTTTCTGAAAAATAGATCAAATGTGCATTGTTTGTCAGTGTTATTGTACAAGATAATCAAGAATTTCTCTGTTTTTTGTTCTGTTTTTGACAGCAGCTCAGTACATTTGTTGAAATAACACCATAAGCAAATTTCATTTCAAATAAAATTTAAGCACTTTCATGGACGTATGTTTGTTTTTAAATACTTTCCAGGCTTTAAATCTATATGTCTGAAATTCAAATACTTTCAAGAAACATGGACTGGAAACTCTGTATTATAGAGAAAGATTGTACCCTTTCATTTACATGTGACACTGGACTGCAAAACCGTTTCTTTTGTTTCACGAGTATATTTGTGTCGCAAATGGCAATACATTCAAAACTATCTTTTAAATAATGCAAAAAAGAAAATATATATATATATATATATATATATATATACAATCTTGAAAAATGTTCATGAAGATATTTTGTACAATTACTACCATATATACATCAAAACTGACTTCTGATTTGCAATTTGGACTGGCAAACACTTTAATTTTAGCAATGTTAAAAGGAAATTTTCCAAATATTTAAATTGCTTGTAACTCTCAGACTTAGATTTGTTCAATATTCACATCTCATTCAAATATTGTCCTAGCAAACCATACACCAATGAAAAGTTTATTCAGTTTTTATTGATAAATCTTAATCAATCAATCAATCAATAAAAATCAACATTTATGACTGGTTTTGTGGTCCAGGGTCAGAAAAAATATGCTAACTTATCTTTTATAATTTCATTTAAGAATTGAAGTCAGAATTATTAGCCCCCCTTTGATTTTTTTTTCTTTTTTTAATATTTCCCAAATGATGTTTAACAGAGCAAGAAAATGTTCACAGTACGTCTGATAATATTTTTTCCATCTGAAGAAAGTTTTATTTGTTTTATTTTGGCTAGAATAAAAGCAGTTTTTAATAAATAAAAAAAAAAAACTGTCAAAATTATTAGCCCATCTAAGATATATATATATATATATATATATATATATATATATATATATATATATATATATATATTTTTTTTTTTTTTTCCTCGATAGTCTATAGAACAAACTATCGCTATAAAACACCATGCCTAATTACCCTATCCTGCCTAGTTAATCTAATTAACCTAGTTAAGCCTTTAATTGTCACGTAAAGCTGTATAGATTATATTTACTGTCATCATGGCAAAGATGAAATAAATCAGTTATTAGAAATGAGTTATTAAAACTATTATGTTTAGAAATGTGTTGAAAAACTGCTCTCCATTAAACAGAAATTGGGGGGGAAAAAAAACAGAGGGGCTAATAATTCAGGTTGGGGGGGCTAATAATTCTGTGTGTGTGTACATATATATATATATATATATATATATATATATGTTCTTGATCTTATAAATTAAATTTTCCTCAGTTATCTTTGTCACTATAAAACACATCACAACATGGAATAAAAGATCTGTCACTACTTTCGGTGCACTTTGACTTCGAGAGAAAATCACCCGTTGAACCAGCAACTGTGTAATTAAAAAGATGCAACACCACCTGTATGTGTAGAGGTGTAATACACAATACCATTAAATGTATTATTAAAGTCTTAAAGATAAGATGTCAACAAACAATGTTCTTTTGACATGGATTAAGATTTGCATAAGAACTTAAGTTGCACAATGCAAACAGTCCCATATAATGTGGGTCATTTATTATGTGTGAACAATGCAGTCATCATGTGCTCATCAGCAGACCACAATGTCCAGTCCAAACAAGAAGCAACTGTCTCTCACAACACACACACAATTTACACCACTGTGATTTTCCACAGTTACCCAACTAGTCTATTAAAAACAAATCATCACTTGTATTTCCTGTAGATATGAACTATTGAAACTGCACCTGTTCCTAAATACAATCATTTATAAAATGTCTTTCAAAAATAGAAACTTGATATTGAAAATCTACAAAAAAGCAGTAAAGTCTTAAACCTGCTGGACACTTGTCCTGATCCCAAGCCCCTCAATACCTGTTGCATGTACTGTAGCTGCTGTGCGGCGATTTGCTGTTGATGTTGGATATTGTGGTGCTGCTGCTGCTGCTGCTGTTGATGATGTAGCTGTTGCAGTCGCAGGTCTCCAGGCTGCAGCTGCTGTAATACTCTGTTCTGTTGACTGCTGTTCGGCATCTGTGCTGCTGACTGCTGCCCATTTCCAGAAGCTGAAACAAGCACACACACACAGAATACAGTCAAACTAATTCCTCCAATAGGGCAAAAACACAAAACAGCAACAATATTTAAGAAAAACATGGATAGCTTTTTGGCCTAGTGTACCTGTGGTTACAGTCATTTTCACAGGAGTTACTGAGCTGGACAAAGGCAGAACATTGCTATTTGCAGCTTTAGGCCTTTGTCTGGGTGCAATTGACGTTTCCGTTGGTCCAACCGAATCAGTTATTCTAATAAAATAAATGGTAAAAGGAGGCTATTTTAATGGTGTTGCATTCAAAGAATGTGAAAAATTACAAACAAAGTGCTAAAATGTTACCGGGCTTTTGTCAGGCTCTTCTTAGCAGCAATATCACTAGCAGTAAAGGGCTCTGGCAATGAGGTGGGAAGGGGAGAATTCTGTGTGGCAGAAAAAAAAAAATAAATAAAATAAATAAATAAATAAATAAATAAATAGCGATAATTCTAAATGAAATAAAATTAATGCTTGTTATTTTCTGTAGTCTATGATTTAGATAACTTACAAAAAGATTTGGCACTGGACACTCCTTTCCAGCTAACCGAAAGGCAAAGTAAGAAACCTGATAGATGTCAGGTCTCTTTTCTTGATCAGGCTCCAACATGTATCCTGTGAGAAAAAAGGTAAATAAAATACATAAAATGAAAGTATGTATGTATGTATATGTATGTATGTATGTGTGTGTTTTTATTTAGCTTACAGTTAAGAGTGATTGCATACAAATTATGTGACAATGAAACTAATGTGATATTAGGAACAGCACAAAAAAATGCATGCATATAAAAAAAAACACACACACACACACACACACACAAGGTTTACATAGAAGTATCAAGATGCCTGAAAAAATATAAAGTTATATAATTGAAGTAAAAATTCTTTAAAAAAAATATTTTAATATATTGTTTTTGGTCACACTTTACAAATAGGTTCCCGTTAATGTCAGTTAATATATTTACAAACATGAACTAATAATGAACAATAATTGTACAGTATTTATTAATCATAGTTCAACATTTACGAACACATTATTTAAATCCAAATTCTTGCTTGTTATAGCATTATTTCTTATATGCTCTTTAATTTAAAATCAACTAAAAATGAATGACGATAATACCAAAAGATGAATAAATACTGTAATAAATGCATTGTTCAATAATTCTTCACGATAGTAAATATTTTAACGATTATTAATTCAACCTTATTGTAAAGTGTTACATAGCTCTGTTAATTCTGTACATATTTTTATTCTAATGTAGTTTAACATTTTCATTGACTCACGCTCATGTCATTCCTAACCTGTTTGAGATTTTCTGTAGAATTTCAAAGATAAATGTGTTGAGATCTGTTATAAAGTCTAAAAACGGTGAGGCGTTTCTCAAAATATTTTTCTTTTATCTTAAGTCTTTTATATTTGTTTATGTTAAGTCAAACAGGTTTGGAACAACATAAAAGTGAGTAAAATGAGTAAATTATGACCACTGTAATTTTCTGCTGAACAATTTTTTAAGAGAAGGAAAACAGCAAGAAGTACCTCCATATGACCAGTGGATGGAGCTATTGTTTAACTTTAATTTCAAAACACTCCCACAGTCTATCAGGAAATAATCTCAAACCTCTTGGGAATATCTGAAAGATGCTTACTGATTAAACCGTGCAACTTTGAGGAGAATTTGGAACCGTCCGGAACAGCAAAGGTTCCATCACATATGGCAACCTGACTCTCCCCAAATGGAAGTGTGAAGAAACACAGCTTGTACAACAAGCATCCAAGCGCCTGTGGAAGAGAGAGAAAACCAAAAGCTAGAATTCATCACAACATTCAACAGATCAGGTTTCACAGCTCTATTATGTAAATACTGCACAGTGACAATACGTATAATGGCTGACAGCTGCTTTTCACACTGTGACAAATTCAGAGAATGTATCTATTTTGGGACCAAGAAAATGGACAGGAAGTACTGTCATACATTTCCTCTTCCTAGCCTGCAAGTTCTGACACGATGACCATGAACTTCTACCATCTGTGATGGCAAAACTGCTTGTTTTTTTGTTTTGTTCTTTCTTCTCTTACGTCCAGCATTTGTTTGGAAGGAAATGCAGCTGTAAGACGAGGCTAAGCTACCTACCTTTCACAGCATGTCAATATAAAAGAGGAAGTCTGCCTTCATGAGGGCCTCATTCCTGTCTTTACAACACTTCCAGAAATCAGGAAGCTCTTTTCTTTACTTTACTGCTTTCCATCAGGCTCACAAGCTTTAGTAAACACTTCTCATTACATCTTCTTGCTGAATAACTTGATAAATAAAAATGCAATCTGCTCATTTCTACACCAGTACCCTGACTTCTCAATGCACAAAAAGAAAACAAATCAGAATCAACAAAAGGATTAACTCCGAAGCAAAGCCTGGATTTCAAGGATGGCTGTAAAGTACACCCTTGAGAGTTTATGGGAGGAAACCGGTTTGGCATTTGCATCTACTGTGTCAGTCTGACCAAACCAGCTCTCCAGCTAGTCCGAGTGTTGGAGAATGGAGAGGGAGTGAAAGAGAATGAGTGGGTGGAGGAGAGGGAGACTGAGGAGAATATGTGTGTGTGTGTTCATTGCTTACCCAGATATCAGCCTTTGTGGTGATGGCTTTCCCTTGGTACAAGTTAATCATCTCTGGGGCACGGTATGACAGAGTCGTGTACCTAAGCAGAAAGGAATGAAAACAATGAGTTAAAAAACTCCCTGGCAGCACAACTACTAACAAAATATTACATCATCTAGACAATCCGAACACATTTTGTAAATTCCTTTATATTGCAGAGGAATTGTAATTCTGCTTAAACTACCAGCTTCAGGACAGCAAATCCACCACTGCCCTGAGGCAACACCCATATTCTTCTATTTTGTCTACCACAATCGGCTTAATTGTGATACCCTCTGAAACTACAATGCCAATCATTCAGTCAAACCCACTGTGATTCTAAAAGAAATGTACAATTTGACAAAATAATTAATTAAATGCAGTTATTTTAAACATTCGAAATGAAAAAGGTATTACCTTTTACTCGAATCAAAATAACTTTTCAACACTGATAATTAATATGATATGCTGAGCACCAGCTAAGCATAAATAAAGCACAAAAATAATTTTTAAAAGGATCACGATACTTTAAGGTTATGATGCTGAAGACAAAACTTTGCACAAGAGTAAATTTCTTTTAAACATACACTACTGGTCAAAAGTTTGGGGCTAGTATGATTTTTAAATGTTTTAACATTAGCTTCTCCTGCTCACTAAGGCTGCATTTATTTAATCAAAAATACAGTACAAATTGTGAAATGTTATTGCACTATAAAATAACTGATCAAAAGTAGTTTATCATTTAATTTAATCATTTATTGATTTTAAAGATTAATTTTCAGCTTCATTACTCCAGTCTTCAGACACATGACCCTTTAGAAATCACTCTAATATAAATTATTATTGTTGTTGTTGTTATTATTATTATTGGTAATAGTAATAAAAGCAATAATGACTGGACTAATCATTCCATTTGAAACTACATACAATAAGTTATAAATTAATAGTTAATTAAAAAGTATTTAGCAATTGATTTTTTTTACATTTAATAAATGCCGCCTTGATGAACAGAATCATTTTATTTAAATGATTAAATAAAATTAATAATAATAATAATTTAAAAAAACAGACCCCAAACTTTTGACTCATAGTGTACATGTATTACGTGTCCCTAATTACTATCACTGTACTTGCCTTTAAATTAATCAGTTGGTACAATGCACTTACCAAGTACATACTCTGACTTACCCACAACACCAAACCTGTCCCTAACCTGACCCATATTCCACCTTATTGTACATATTGTTTATTTTATGCAAGTACCTAGCAGTTAAGGACACTTAATATAAAGTGGAACCATATATTTTACCCTGCAGAGCATTGTAATCATCATAAGAATAAGAAAAAAAATATATATTGTACTTATTTAATATTTTACCAAATTGTACATCAGTTCGAAGTAAAACTAACAAACATACACATACTGTCCAATAAAAAAAATTATATACACACACACACATTTAAAGTCAGAATTATTAGCCCCCCTTTGAATTAGTTTTTCTTTTTTAAATATTTCCCAAATGATGTTCAACAGAGCAAGGAAACTTTCACAGTATATCTGATATTATTTTTTCTTCTGGAGAAAGTCTTATTTGTGTTAATTTGGCTAGAATAAAAGCAGTTTTAAACTTTTTAAAAAACATTTTAGGGACAAAATTATTAGCCTCTTTAAGCTATTTTTTTTTCGATAGTCTACAGAACAAACCCTCGTTAAACAATAACTTGCCTAATTACCCTAACCTGTCTAGTTAACCTAATTAAGCCTTTAAATGTCACTTTAAGCTGTATAGAAGTGTCTTGAAAGTTATTTAGTATAATATTTACTGTCATTATGGCAAAGACAAAATAAATTAGTTATTAAAAGTGTGTTATTAAAACTATTATGTTTAGAAATGTGTTGAAAAAAAAGTTCTCTCTATTAAACAGAAATTGGGGGCTATTCTGACTTCAACTGAAATATATATATATATATATATATATATATATATATATATATATATATATATATATATATATATATATTACATTACATTTACTAATGTATTTACGAAACAAACTAATAAATCCAACGTGTACAGCATTTATTAACCGCAGTGAAATGTTACTTGTGTTTGTTAACATTAATTCATTTAAAGTCCATTTAAGGCCTTAACTTCATCTTTGCCAACATTTACAAAAAGGTTCCACTAACAATACATTTATTACAGTATTTATTCAATTGTTAATATTTATTAATCAAAATACAGTAGTTTATCTTAATACATGTATTCTAGTCTTTGATTCGTTGAGTTAAAGTTTAAACTATGCGTTTTCATTAATCAATGTTAACACATATGAATAAATACTTTAATACATGTTTTTTCATGTTATTAAATAAATTAGCTAACACTTATTAATAGAACTATTGTAAGTGTTGGCAAAAAAAGTGAAAGTACGATTTGTAAATCCCGCTGTGATTCAGAATTCCCCTCTGCAGCAAGCCTTACTTCTTGATCTCATCCTCCACAGCGGTAATTCCATCTTTATGTGGAAGCAGAACTTTGTGTGTGGCACTTCCAAAGTCACACAAAACATAGTTTCCCTGGTCATTTAGGAGGATGTTTTCTACCTGTAAACACACACATTAGTGACATATGAGAGCACTTTAGGTCCAAATACAGTAAACTTCCAACACTCAAGAGACAGAAGCAGAAGAGGAAGAAAAATTAATAATGAAGAGCTAAATGGTTTTATTTTTGGTAATGGTGTTCCTTCTGCACAACAGAGAACATGCTGTGCACCAATGACTTCCTGACATCTTAAAGGGGTGGTCCACTACCATATCATATTTAAAACTTCAGTTGATGTGTAATGTTGCTGTGTAACCACAAACAACATCTCTGAATGTTATACACTCAAAGTTCAATGCCAGGAGAGACATTGGCTTTAACAGAGTTAGCTTAGCAAAGCCTACAGTAAACAAAGTTTGGGGACTACAAAACAAATACATCCAGGTTAATGAAATCATAAACCCTTCATGTTACATGCATTAACCAGGCGCATTCACCACACACATACACCCCGCGCAGCAAAGGGGCATCGCTTGGGGAGTAGCCAACCGCTGCTCTGACTGAATTTAATGGCATGATTCGTAGACGCTTTTCCAGGTGACATGGAGCCGATCTGCGAATCACAGCACATTATGTTAGCTGACCAATCAGAGCCTCTTGGGGGCAGGCTTTCAAAGAAACTAGGAAATATGACAGTCGTTTTCATGTTAGCTGAGTAGCTATATATAATCAAAGTAAGATAGATGAACAAATAATGTGATTTATTAATTTATTATTATTATTATTATTATATTTTTAATAAATGAAGCATGAGCACACATTGCTTTGCATCTTATAAACACAACCAAGCCTTAAAAACACAATCTGGACCACCACTTTAAACATTAACGTCATTTTTGAAAGAGAAAACTAAACATCTCAAAGCCACAACTTGGTTCGGAAGTCACGTGACCAGTGCATTAATAACTTTTTTATACTTGTAGGTTAATCCAACATTTATAATAATTGCAGAGAGATCGCCTCCTGAGTCAAATTCACATGTATGAAAGCATTTTGGCTTCCCTGTAAAATATAATGATGACAGAAAAGTGTGGTGGGACCTAAATGCTTTCTAAGGTTATTAATTTAAAGAGTTTTCTGTCACTGTTTGTTTAGTCTGCATTAATGCATTCAGGTGTAAAACAGCACAATTAGACATTAAAAAATTGTGATCTCAATTGACCCTTCGCTAAGCCACACCCAAAAAAAGCCACCCACCAATCATGGCTTAGCAACCGTAGCTACGTGCAGGGGCTCTGTCAAGCTTTCGACACAAGCCAAAGCGATGTGCAAATGGATTGTGCAAATTTGATATGAACCCGGTATCCTAAAGGTTTGGACAGGGTGGTGCAATTTTTTCCCTTTTTAAAACCAAAAACCCAAGAGGAGAGACGCCAACGTGGATCAAACTCTGTGAGGGGTGCTAAAGGAGCAGAGTTAAGTTGGTTTTGTTTCGATATTCCTAACAGTCATAGATGGCAATAACTCACACACTTTTTACCCTAAACAGATCTAAACTGTTTTCCTGGAAAAATACAAAGCAGGTTATGTTTCACAGCTGTCTTGTTTCTTTTTTCACTCGATATTATGAGCACTGCTCCGTTTAAGCCCTCGCCATAGTAGTCATCCTAATAGCAATCATATTTCCATCCGTTTCAAGCTACGAATATTTGAAATTACATATCAACAGAACAAAACAGAGATCTGATCACAAACTGAGCACTTGCAGTCAATATAGTTCATCCGCAGTGGTTTTTCAGTATTTTATAAGCCTCGATGACAACATCCATGATGGATCTACAAATCACTGATGTTTTCAGCAGTCTTTTGAAGATGTATTCATTGGTGATGATGTTATAGCAGGATAGTGTCTGCTTTTATATTTGGTGTCTGATTAATATTTGCTGGTAGGGAAAATCTGTTCACTTCTGCTATTTATACTTTGATTTGCACTTCAATTTATTAATTTTTTTCTTCCACTTAACACCAAATTAGAATGGAAACTGGATAAAGAGCACACAAACATACACACAGTTATAGTTAATTTACATTGTTATGGGTCAATGAAGCTAATATTTGGCACAAATTCATTAATTCCCCCTTTCTGGCTGCTCTTTCTATGAATGAATGATGTAGAAGAACTGTCCATGCGTGTTTCCTGGTCTGTTAGTAACACTATATTTTATTGCACTAAATTAATCTATCAGGCTTTTTGGCTAAAAAAAGAGAAATCACTGTTTAATTTGTTATTATTAGATTATTTTTAAATGTCGCCTCTCCTGCTGTGTATGAACTAAGCTGTTGAATGGTCAGCAAATGAGGCGGCTAGGCTAACCTGGCTTCAATTTTGATTCAATTATTCTCTAATCGCTTGCCTATTGAGTGGTGAATATACCCTAGTAATGCTTACTGCAGTCCTTTTTTGGATATCTCACCTGTTTACCAAAAATATCTAATTATATCCCTGGCAACGACTGAAACTAGCGCTTACACATTGTAATAGACGAGCCAGGCACGAAAGCTTGACAGGCATAGCAACAGTAACTAAGGAGGGCAGGGCTTAGCGAAGGGTCAATTCAAACCTGCGCAACAGGAAAGATAAATGATAATGATTTGCAAATGTTTATTAATCCTTCGAAGCATTGCATTCAAATCTGAATCGAGAGACATCCAGTTTACACTTTTTCAGTTAGTTACAAATAATTAAATAACACAGAAGAATTGGGAGAACAGTTTATAGTTTAGATATAAACACTAATGTTTACGGTAAAGATTAAAATCACCATTAAATGAAACATGACGCTGGTGAAAGCAATTACCAACAGATTGCGACAAACAACTATCAAAATTATGTCACTGAATAGGTTTTCAAAAATAATACACCTATAATAAAACGAAGTTTTATGTGTGAATTGTTGAATCATTAATTGAAATTAAAGATACGTTGTACAAGATTGTAGATTTCTATATTTAACATTATCAGCAACAGTAGCAAAGATCATATTTCATATTGAATACTTTTATTTTTTCAGCTGGTATCTTGATTTTCTATTTTTATTAAAATTACAGGTTTGAAGTTCTGTTTGTTAAAAGCAATGTTTTTTGCACCAATACTTTCGTTTAAATGGAAAGCAAATGACATTTGTCTCCTTTTTTGCTGATTCGAATAATTGTCTGAACTTGTCTGACTCAAAAACCAAAGTGTGATCCGAATTGCAGATTTGTGATTTGTTACACCACTAATTCCGTGCTATGTGCATGTGTTGTGAGAAAATGCAGCACGTATTCTTAATTTGTTTGCATTGTAAGAAAAATGCAACGCCTTTTCTTCATTTGTTAGCTTTGTGTGAATTTTCAACACCTATGCTGTCAAACTGATGAAGATCTTTTCTTAATTTGTTAGTTTTTTAGTTAGTAATCGCATGCGTTTTCCTAAATTGCAGAGCTCTTTTGGCCACCATAGAAAAAGACTAATACTTAAAATAAAAGAGGTAAAGATAAGAGTAAAAGAGCAAGAAAACAAGTTGCAACACCCCGAGTAAGCATTTATAAAACAACTTTCGTTGCCTTGAAGTGACAAGTGTGAAATTCTGCACACTATATTTGTATCTCAACATGATTACTCTGCAAAAGAAGCCTCCACTAGGGCTGTCACACATATTATAAGCCTTGCATGAGCACTTTGTTTGGAATATTCTAATCTTTCTCGTTCCCTCGATGACAAACAAGGCACACATTTCTTCCACTCCAGTGTTCAATAATTTCCCAATTATTTTGAGTGTGATTGGTCTTGACTGGTGGGAAAAAGTGTTTGTTTGAATGGCACCATTGGCCTGTTCCCACACTTCTCTGCCAAAAGGGCGGCCTTACTTCATTCAGCACTGCTGTTTTTCACAGAAACAGCGTAGCATGCCCGTCTTTGCTAATGCTTGCCACTAATAATGTTTGTGAGTAGAGTAATTGGTTTGAGAGATCATGTCTGGTCTCATTGTGTGGAACTGGAATGAACAAGACATGGTTCCTTAAACTGACAATGAGTGTCCTAAATTTACCCAGCCAAAAAAAAAAGAAAGAAAAATGAAAGAGAATCAGTGATCAACCAGAGTCTCATACTTGCTCTCCAACATTTATGAAACGGCACAGATGAAAGCACAGACAGGTCAGTGCTTGTGTATACAGCTTCACACCTAAAGTGAACTTTTTCAATAGTTTGGAACGATTTGTAATATGCTGATCTTTTCAATCCATCTGGAGCTGTTTATAAGTAGCATCAAACTTTCTATTTCTAAGCTATTTCTATACTGTACCTTCAGGTCCCTGTGGATAATTGGAGTTTTACACTGGTGGAGTCTGGCAACAGCTTCACAGGCATCACAGAATATGTTGAGCACCTCTGCTTCAGTGAATCCAATGTGCAGCCGCTGGTTCATCTGCTTCACCACCTGACCAGCTACATGGCACAAAAACATTTATAGTCAAAAAATAAGCAGAATCTCTTTGGGTATTTCGGTTTCAGATGGCCTTGATAAAATCAATTAAATCCATTTTGTTCTGTGTTAATATTCTGGTGTTTATATAATATTCTTTGTATTTATTAACTGCTTGAGCCTTTTTTTGTTTTTATTTTAGTGTAAGTTGTAGCAAGTTTGCTAAACATTTCTATTAAGCTTGTTTTTTTAAGTTTAGTAACTTTGGCACCTAAACTTTTATTTAATTTCATTTCTATTAGTAATTTTTATTTATTTTCAGCTTTTCATTGACTATATCCAAGTTTACATGCAATTTGTAACCTTTATTTTAATGAACAAAAATTTTTATAAAAAAAAAAAAAAATCAGAAATTTCACTTTGTACAGTTGTTAATTAAGTGTGCGACGAAAAACCATATAAGCCAAAATAAATAAAAAATAAAATAACCATGTGACATTAATTGTACTGGGGATATTTTGGCACGACCAAGAGTCTGCATTTTAAACATTAATATAGTCTCACACGAAAAAAACAAAAGCGTTTATGTCCTCAAGGAAGAATAGAGATGCCGCTTGCTGTCATGTCTGCTTCGGACATTAAAAGGTAAATCCTCTGCAAAAAAAAAAAAAGAGCCTAGATGATATTTGAATTAAAAAGGAGAACAAGAAATGGGAAAATCCACCGAAAGAGGTGAGTGGAAGAACCGTATATGTGATGTGATCTCTCTCTCTCTCTCTCTCTCTCTGAATGCGCTGAGGAGCGTTAAACAGCAGAACAACAGTTAGCCTATCAAAATAAACCACATTCCATATTTAATAAAGCTGTATCAATGCAGATTTCCAGCCAGTCCTGTGTAAACTACGGCAAGCAGTGTTTATTTGTTTATACATTTATTTATGTCTTGAGATGCCAGAGCGCGAGAACAGTTTGTAGTATATACTACAAAGCGTACCTGTGTATATTTCAAAATAAATGACAATATTTAGTGATGATGTCTGCATTTTATGTATTTATTTATTTATTGTTAATAAATTATTGTTATTGCCTGTACTGTAAGAAGGTCTATGCATTGTACATTGTTCATACTATATTTTCTGCTTTTAAATAATAATAATAAAAATAAAGTTGAAAAAGTGATATGATGAATTGGAGTTATAATGTTATTCCACACTATCCTGACATATACCGTTCTTCCACATTTAAAAAATATAAAAATTACAATAGCTTTAGGTTTTTTTAATAGTGACACTGAAAAACGCTAAATTATACTTAGAATTAAGAAGCTTTTTTGTCTGTCTTCAAGCTAAATAAAAATATATAATATAATGTTCCCAATCCAAATAAAAAATTCTTAGTATTTAAAATGTTGAAAATATTGACTCATATTGTTCTTTGCCTCAAGGCATCAATTGTTCTCTTAAAATGGTCACAAAAACATTTATTTATCCATATTTAAAATTGTTCTGTTCATATTATTATTTTGTCAAGACACATTAAGGCTATAATAAAAGTGAAACAACCTAAATGTGTTTACAGTCAGCTAATGTACTGGGATGCAAGTATGAGCTTGTATTTCAGGAATTTAAAAAAATGACACACATGCACGCACGCACACAATGCTTAAAATGCATAATGTTTCTATTATAGTGTACTTTACATTAAAGCTGCATTACCCTTGCAATACTCCATCAGTATCAGAACCTCCCATACACTGTCTCCCACTGCGTTAGTTGTAGAGTCCAGATACCGCACAATGTTCTTGTGGCCCGACAACTCTTTCTAAGGAGATGAAAACAAAACGATTCAGTAACGTGATGTACTGACGCACTTACACATCAACAACACATCCCAGCTTGACTCACCATGATAGTGATCTCCCGTCTGAAGATGTTCAGATCGTGGACATTGTTCACGTACATCCTTTTCAGGGCACATCTTACTCCACTATGTGTGCGGGCCAGAAACACCATGGAAAAACCTCCTGGATAAACAAACCCACATATATATATTTCACGGGTTAGTTCAGAAGTCCATCATATCAGCAATCAACACATATTAACAATCAGTTTTACAAGCAATTGAAGCATTAAATGGGTGGTCCAGAGTGTGTTGTAAAACCTTTATTTTACATCTAAAGAGTGTGGTTGTGTTTATAAGATGCAAAGCAATGTGTGCTCATGCTTCGTTTATTTATATATATATATATATATATATATATATATATATATATATATATATATATATGAAGAGGACACAGCTGAACCTCATGCCTGCTCTCTAAAATCAGACTTGACAAGTGTCTTTCATATATATTTGCAATAATCATGTATAAGTAATCTGAAACATTCACATATCATTAGCAATTTGTTATTTGAGAAGTATAACTCACGGAAAGTGGCCACATAAAGAGACAATGCAGAGCTGCTGAAGATTGTGGGTGTTTACAGCGGTGTGATGGAGAAATATGAATTTGTAGCAAAAATGTTAGCGGTGCAAAAACAGCATTTCCCTTTGTTTACGTCCTTTCTACAACATACTATAAAAGCTAGAAACTATGCATGTAATTAGGGCTGCACGATTAATCAAAAAAAGTTCACAATCTCGATTCGACCCTACAAACGATCTTAATACAGCTTTTCTACGATTCAGCCAATATATTTTCAAGATCCGGAGAGAAGCACAAGTCTTCACAGGTACATGAACACCTTCAAATGGCTTTAAAAGTGTAACATACTGTATTTATAAGGTACAATTCACCCAGAAATGTCATTTCTGTCTTCATGTAGTGATGTATTTGCGGCCATGAAAAATCAAACATGAGCTGACCACGAGCTAGCAAGAACGTGCACGCAGCACGCCAATGATGGCTACTTTAGTGAACAGAACCTGCATAGTCTGTGAATAACAAGTAATAAAGTTGTAAATAACATTCAGTTTGTTGCACAGAGCGATCGTTTGAGAACCGAACTGAAAGAATTAATTGAATGTGTGTGTGCGTTTTATCACAGTAAATCACCAGTGAAAACAAATGGTCTAATAATGCTGTCAATGACAAATGACAAGCACATGTCTTAAACATAATAAATCAATTTTATAATTATAAATAGTTATATTCTGATGTCATAATTTTACTGTGAATTAACAAACAGGACATATTGAAAGTCTGTTCAAGTCCACCATAATGACTGTAGAAAATGTACTGTAGCATTTTAAGCAACAGTAGACCAACACATAAGCCTAATATTATTATTTGTATTATCAATTGTTGTTTTATCATATCGTCACTTGGGAATTATAAGGTTCTATCTGACAATTTTATCAAAATTGAGTTATTGTTAATGTTTACATTAAGACTTAAAAAAATGTTGCACACATATGGTTTGCTATATGGATTGCAAAAACTTTGAAGCTCATTATTTCAAAATCATTCAGAACGCTGATAGAACCTTATAATTCCAAGGTGACGATATGTTTGAAGATTAACTATAATAATAGACTACTCATATTAACCTTTATTTTACATCTAAAGAATTATGAGAAAGAATCATGATCTTGATTGTGACTTACATTTTAGCCAGAATCGTGCAGCCCTACATGTAATAAATCAATTTTAACAAATGAAAATACTCACAGGTTGTGACATTCCACAGCTTCGTCTATTATGGTTAGAGCTGCTCCTTCTTTGAGGAGTTTTTAGCCAAATCAATACTGAACTGGGAGAGATTCTGGAAACTGTCCTGTCAAATGCTAGAACTATCTTTTTTTATAATTCTATGGAACATAATTAAAACTAAATTGTAAGCACGTCTCTTTTTGTGTCATGTGCTTTGTAAGCCCAAATACAGAAACAGAATGAGCTCTGTGGAAATATACATTTTAGCTATAACATTACAGTGCCTCTGGCCACGTCCATTTGCTGAACAGGGTGTATGCGCCTGACATATGCACGTAACAAAGGGTTTATGATCTCACTAGCCTGAATGTATTTTTTGTAGTCCCCAAACTTCATTCACTGTAGGCTTTGCTAAGCTAACTCTGTAAAAGTCAATGTCTCCCTTTGCATTGAACTTTGAGTGTATTACATTCAGAGATGTTGTTTGTTTACACGGCTGATATCACAGTGGATGACCCTTTAAGCAATGAGGTGACTGTGAGGTGTTTATGTCGACATGCCAAAGATGTACAAAGAAATAAATGCACAATCACTTTTAAAACACAGAATTTGCAAACAAAGGATTTCAAAGTTGAACATCACGGAGATTGTGACAATATCAAAATATCAAAGTGTGAATGTTGAATTTGGTTGGAAAACAAAGCAAAACTTAAAGTGTGTCATGTTTGAGTTTGCACTTTGGAGAGATGGTGAGTATCTGAAAGAAACAAAATGGCTGATATTACTGCCATTTAAACAGAGACAGGTTTGGGTAGCACTGTGCAACAGAAATGAGAGCTGGAAATGAACAATTTAAAACCCATTACAACTGCCCACGTCTCATTTCAGGAAAGCAAGGAAGACACCTTCAGTAAATGGAGTTCTTTTCGTTTTTATTCTCTCATCTGAAGCTGGAAAACTTGTGATTCCCTGCTGAACGAGTGAACGGATCTTAAAGGACAGAAGCTGAACTTTGTATCAACTTGAAATGGGTTCAGGGATTATAGTGACCTCCTGTGACTTTTGTTCATGTTTAACGCAGGTATGAGATCTGTGATATTGTTCAGTTGCTCCAAACATTGCATGCATATTCAAAAGGAAAGCATGATGGAGGCAGTTTTTAGCTAAGTTAGGGATGGGCTCACTGTTGGCAGTCACTTGTGTACAAAGTTAGCCTTAGGAGAAATACAACCTTATAAGGTTGGTTCACCTGAAAATTAAACTCTGACATACTTAATCAAGATCAAATTGTTCCGCACCCATAAGAGTTTTTTTTTCCTTCTTTAGCAAAACACAAAAGATGACACTGCTTTTTTCCATAATAGGGCTGTTAAGCCCTAAGCATACTCTGTTAAGTCAGAGTGATACTAAAAATTTGTAAACAGTGAAAAACAATAAAGGGTATTAAAATGATTCCAGATGGAACAACAGCAGCAGCTTCAGAGTGAAGTAAAAGAGGCCATAATGTGCATTCTTTTGCTTAATGAGTGTACTAGAATAGAGCACAGCTAGTGTTTCTTCCCATACCGCTAAACTTTTGGATGAACGGCTGATGTGATTTCATTCAATTTTAGACTGTTCCTTTTACAGCATCAATGTTGTAATGTAATTGAAATATAATCAGTTAAAGGGACTTCAGCATTTATTTAGTTGTTCAAGTGTAAAACGAGATGAAAAGCCATTTACATGCACGTACCCGTCAGGATCAGCAGTCTAATGCAGAAACTGGATTGAAAATACTGGGTGAAATAAATTTTCATATTTTAAAGACATGGCGTGGAAAAAAAATTTTTTTAATGCAGTGCTTCTAGTACATTCTGAGATCCACTTCATATCGTGTATCAATCAAGCAGCGAAGATTGCTGATTTTTAAAGAAAACAGACCTTAAAACCGCCAATTATGACCCAGGTCACTGAAAATGTCCTTCTGCATATACCCTACAGTCTAAAGAGTTGCAATGTCTTATTAAAGAGCAGTGCTCTGATTGGCTAGCTCACCCAGTTCACTGTGATTAGCCAAACCTCAAGCATGTATTAGAAATATAACTTCCTTACGATAACAATAAAAGACATATTTAATAAAGACTCTTTTTAACTCTTTATTGAGAGTTAAATATAAATTCTAAATATATAAACTAGGCATGATACGATAATTGTTTTCAAGATATACCGTGGTTTGAAAAAAGTAAAGGTTTTAAAACAACCAAAATGTACTGTAAAACTGTAAAGTTCCTACTGTATATGCATGTTTTTCTTTTTATATTTTTTTAGGACAACAGTATCTCTAGCAGAAAACATATCCAAAGATGCGTTTTTAAATTGTAAAGAAATCTGTGATTCGGTTGAATTATTTAGTCTGACATGTTTCCTGTTCCAAAATATTTTAAATGTTTCTCAAAATAAATTATATTGTGTTCATCGAGAAATTTTTTTTTAGTTTTTTTACACACACATTTAAAAAGAACATATTTTAGAGCAGTAAATCACAATACCGTGAAATTTTTATTTAAGGTTATCATACTATTAGAATCTTTTACCAGCCCATTCCTAATATGACAAGGCTATATATTTTTGCATTCACTTGGAGCAGGTATTGCATTTTAAACCGAATATTGTCAAAATCCCGGAAGTGGTATTACGAGTGTGCATGTCAATATAGCTCCCTGACATGGCAACAAAATTGTATCATATCATGATGTAGACATTTTCAAATAATATCTGAACTTGTATCAATGTATTTTATGCAAAATAAAATAAAAAATATTTTTGTGGGACAAAAGAAGATTTGTAAATCATAGACACTAATGGATAAGGATCACATGATAAAGCATCATGTCTTTTTTAACTGTAAAAATGCTTCTCATTCAAAATGATGAGAATCAAAAGTGGTAAAAATACCTCTGTGTGGCTTTACTGAAACTCAATGAATGCGAGCACTGACTGCCCACACAGTGGCAAGGAGCTTTGAACCAACATTAAGGGCGCCATGCCTCCACAACACTTCTCCCATCAGTTCCAGGGTGAATGAATCCTGGCAACGTAAGACTGGCAAGCCTTCTCTCATTAACAGCCTGCTGAGTCACGGAGCGGTCGGCAAAAAGAGAGGGCTCTGACACAAAGGAGGACCCACAATGCTGCACTTGTTGCCTAACAAACTCATGCTTGTTCAGCTGCCCTGAATTTAAAATGTATTTGTATGGAAGACCCACTAATCAGGACCTTTGGAAGGTGAAGAAAAACAGTTTGCAGATAAAAATCAACACAAAAATTGTAATATGCATACAAGACTACAGAAATTGCAAATCTATCTTAAGTGATCATATTGTGAA